TAAACAAACTCTTCAAAAAGAGTGCTTGTTCATCAAAGGACTGTTTGGTTGTGAAAACTAAAACATGAAACTTTTCTTTCATACATAAACAACTTTTTTAAAAACTTTGAAAAACGATCGTAGTTAATAAAATTGTTTTATTTTAAACAAAAAACGCACTACATTTCCTCTGATTTCCACGTGCATTTGGCCTGTATTGCGCGCATATTGATAAATTTAATTTTAGCTATATACACTTTATTTTTTATTCAATAAAAGTAACAAGGTTTATTTCGTTATAGCATGTTTTTCGTTTACGTTTTCCTATTTAAATCTGCACCGCTTAATGATCAGACAAAAACTTCACGTGGTCCATGTGTAGTGAGTGGAAGCTATATTTTATAAATTAGGAAAATGTACAAACAAAGAAAACCGCATGAAGTGATTGGGGAAGAAGTGGTTCGTCTTTTGTTGACGATCTCAAGCTTTAGTGATATCCTTGTGCACACACTATTGTTCAGAACACCAAAAATAAAATAAAATAATTTACTTTTTTTAGTCGTTTGCATTCAATTACCTGACCACAGTACCAGATTTTTCAAAAGTCAAAACTTTCTCTTTGTGAACGATCTCCTTAATGACAACATATGCTTTCGGTACCTCCACGAAGTTCCTAAAAAAACAAAGCCAAACACAAAAAACATTTATTTTAAATGCCTTCTTTGAACTTAAATTTCGGTTTTATTCAAAAGATAATGTTCAAACTAAAAAAGCTAAATCCGAATTAAAAGAAAAATTTTCCAAATAATAAACTTTTTAAGAATTTTTAAAGCATTAAGTACATTTTTTCGTCACTCATCGAGCCGCCATGGTATACGAATAATGTAGGTAAAACTCCACTATCGCTAAAAAAAAAAAGCGCATGATGAAAAAGACGTCAAACTCGACGAAAACAAAATTTTATCATCTAAATGTTTATTATGAAGAGGAAAGACTAAAAGTTTTTTTTAATTATTTTAAAAATTTTCCCTTCATTTTAGAACATTCTAAATTTTGATTAAAAAAAAACTTGTTTCTCTTTGTATCACTGGAACTAGTAAAATAACATAGACAATTTTTAACACGTTTTTTTTTTTTTGTATGACACACATTAATTTGGAAAATCTTGCAAAAATAAAAATAATTGCCGGATGTTAATGAAACTTTCAGAAACTATTCATAGATGATGGAAATTATTATAAATATGTTTTTTTTTATTTTTTTATTAAAGTCATGGCAGAAATATTTTTTATATATTTATTACCCCCCCCCCCCAACTAATTTTATGAAAACTCTAGAAATTCGGTCAAATCCAGTTTAGGTGATTACAATAGTTAAGGCTTTGAGGAATGCAAATCATGTTGTTTTTTTGTTTTGTTTTGTTTTTTAATTGACCCCCACACACATACACCTGAAAATCAGCTCTGAATTGTAACATACAAAAGTCAATAAAACAAAGATATTATTTAATTTCAAATGCTTTTATTTGCTTTTAGTTGTTTTTATGAATATGGACAATATTTTCTGAAAGCAAAAAATTTTTTTGATGAAAAATGAATTTTTAATACAATTATTTGTTATTTCTTTTATTATAATAGATTTTTGCATTTAAGTTGTTATTATAAAATTAGTTAAAAGCCGCATCCACTTTCCTAAGTGGCCTTATGCGATAGATCTTTTTTTTTAGCGCATTGTAAGTTGTATCATTTTGACTAATCAGAAGATCCGCAGTAATTTTGTGTTTATAATTGGGCGGTAATTATAACGTACAGAAGACCAAGCAGAATACAATTAAGTTGCGTTATTTGAGTTGACCATTGTTCTCCGCTGTTAAGGCCTTTACTTTTGCGAAGCGTGTGGAGAAGTTAATTTGATTTTTCAATTTCAACTGAGAAGGGTACCTACAAGTATCAGTATCATCTTATGAAATTTATATGATCTTATTTTTATATTAATCTCAATTATGACATTTTTCCATAAATGAAATATCAAAATTAATAATAAAATGAATGGAAATACAAATAACACAGTAAAATGTAATAAATGTACATAAAATTATAGTATTTTATGTACACTTCTGATAAAATTTCATAAGAAAGGTACGTATAAATTAATTAGGTCCCTTTCTATTGAAATTTAATCTCACTCTTAACACTCTTATTTTTTAATTTCTTTATAATATATTTTCCATAAAGCATCGTAAACGTATGGGTGAAAGCTAAGTACAAAAAAGAAAAATTAGAGCGCTGAAAGTTTTCCTTAAAAATAACGAGGTAAATAATTTGTTCACTTTAATCTAAATAACTTCACTTCTCTCCATCTGTAGAAGGAATTATCCTCATGTAAGCTATCTAAATGTCATGAAAATGTCTTTTGTCACCTGTCAAGTGACGCGAAAGGTTTTGTTTTATTTTCAAATTATATCTTTTTGGCGCAGAAGCTAAGTTAAGCTTGGTTCGAAATATTTTAAATAAACATAATTTCTGATTTTCTTAAAATAAATTTTGAAAAAATGATAATTGATTTTTAAAAGAATTTCAAAATGAGATTTTCATTTTTTTATTAAATGGAAAAAAGGGTTGCCATGATTGATTATCTGCCAATTTTGATGACTCAAAACAAAAACAAGATTTTTAACAAAAATTTTGGATGTGCTAGGAACGATTAAAAAATGTAAAAAAATACCCCCAAAATATTTTGATCTTTCCTCTTAATAATAACATGAACATTTAGATGATAAAATTTTGTTTTCATCAAGTTTGGCATCTTTTTATCATGCTATGCTCTTTTTTTAGCGATCTCATGGAGTTACCTAGAATAATGTAAATGGCAAATTTAAAATTTTCATTAAAGTTCAGTATTCGTCTAATAAATTTAAATATTAACTAACTGGGTTTTCTAAAAGTAATGTTTACCGTTTTGCTTAAAATAGAATGTAAATAATGTGTTATTTACACATGCTAACCTGTGAGGTCAAAGGACAAAGTAGAAATATAGTAATTTTATATTTCTAAGAAAAAATGCGGGAAAAAGTAAAATAAAATGTTAGTAAGTGTGGAAAACCAGCAGTACAATAATCAAGAATTTTTTATTTATGTTTAAAACACAATTTTCTTTAACCTTATATAACCAATAGAAAGTTGATGTGTCTAAAAGTAGGGGGGGTGTTAAATAAAAGATAACTATGCTTGGACACTGCATTCATACCATTAAGAATCTTTTAGTCTGATGTATATTAGGTTCTGGAGGTAATTGCACCTTCTTGCATTATAGAGTTTCTAGAATAAAAATTCTCACCTGGTGGCTTTCAAGTATGCCAAGCTCCCTGTTTTTATTTTTGTTTTTTATTACATCTAATTCTAATTTTCATTTTAAGCTGATGTTTAAGGTAAGAAATTAGCTCATCATGAGAAAAAATATTTATTCTTGTAGATTCCCTTTTAAATACTTTCCATTCTAGGTACAGCTGGTAGAATTCGAAACACCATTCATTTCACCTTAGTTTGTAAATAAAACACATTGCAAGAATCAACAGAATCCAAAAATGGGTGGATCATATCACAATGTTAGGTTTTCTAAACTGATTCTTCCAACTGTTACAGTGATCGCCAAATCCACTTTGAAATCATAAATTTTAGGTGGCTGCACATTGTAGACCTGTCACCAGGTGACAATGGTGAATTAGTCAGCAACCCATACACACAGTACATTTTGCTTCACCTTTAAATCCATCTTTTTTTGTTTCGCATTACTGGTTGCCAGTTTTGTGCTGGAAGCATAAGATCTAAATTCTTTCTCGTGCTAACCATAGACTCTAGTGAACCAGTTGTTGACATAGCATTAAGAGTCTAGCTTCACCCTGCCTGTTGCTTTGTTATTTACTATTTACTCATAAAAAATGAATAAGTTCACTACTCTACTGTTGAAAACTACTTTTGTTTCCTATCTAAATTTTTTGTGTTTATTTACATCTTGGTTTTGCTTATAATATTTCCTTATACATTTTTCTTAAACCTGAAAGTAAGGAATAAGATGCTGCTGCTGCTGCTTAGGTATGACATCATCAGGTGGTATGGTATGTTTGTGGTTGCCTGACCTCTTTTGTGATATGTGGGTGCGGTGGATGTGAAATTGTCAGTGAATAGCCAAATAAAGAAATTTCTTATTTTAAAATTTACAGTTTCAATTATTGGTATTAGAATATTCAAATTATGTCAGAATCCATGGCATGTTAGTTCGATCCCTGGGTCAGGTAGGGTGGAAAAATGGACAAGTGACACAAAAGTAAAATAGATTGGAGAGTATTAACTCATAGGAGTAGATAGGTTTGCTTAATGTCCCATTCACTCTCCTCTCTGGTTTTCTGAACAGGAGTTTATTCTTTTTCTGTTTACAATTGGGTTTCTGGTTTCTTCTAAAGTCTTTTCCTTTTCGTTCACTTACGTCTTAGTAGCATTATTGCCTTGCTTGGGGTGAATTGATTAAAAAAAAAAATTCCCTAAGAATGAAAAGATTAATAAGAACAGTCTACCCTCAGTTAAAAATTATGGGAAGGTTGTTGAGTGTGACTGACACTTGAAGAAGACTTGAAGGCTGAAATGTTGAAAAAAAGCATAGAATATTTAAATTGATGTAAATATTCAATTGTCACTTGAGAAACTTGACTTAATTGTACATATAATGCTAATTAAACCCATCTACTTAGAAATTAAAAGTAATTTAAAATTGTGGTTTGTTTGTGGATTGTATACATGATTGATTTAGAACTAGAAATTTAGTTAGCTTGTGTAATGTGAATGTGTACGATTATATACATTTACGTATCTAGCTACATATTTCCATACATTTATCTATTAGATTTTCATATCAAAACACTGACCTTGTTTTAAAGTTTTTTTGACAATTTTTGATTTTTAAAGAAAGCTGTAAAATTGTTTATATATACATATATATATATATATTTCTACAGTTAATTGGAAAGAATGGATGAAACAGTTCAATCAACTAGCAGAATTGGACGATTTGAACGATGCATCATAGGCAAAGATGAACTTCTACTTCCTGATAACTTGATAGAACAGGTAAATTTATATGAAAAATTTATTGAATTTATTATTGTTCATATATTTCATTGTATATTGTAAGCTAATTCAACTTACAAAATGTGCATCAAAATTCTTTTACAGGCAAAAGAATACCTTCATATGATGCTGAATAAGAAAATATTTTTTCTGATTTCAGAATAAAAAATATTTTCCTTAATTCATGATCATGATTATTATTATTGTTATAAGTTTAATTTGCTTACAGGACAGAATTATACTCAGTTATTAAAAGGAATAATGTTTTTGTGTTTGTTTAATCTTTATTCAGCTGCTGAGTAATTTTGTGATGAAATCCTAAAAACAATCAATGTCAAGCTGATATTCATTAAACCACAGTTTAAGTTTTAGGACCACATACATTTGAAGAAAACTGCAAAAATTTTAATAAAATATTACTTTTGTTGACAATTTATACCAAGAATAAGTAATAAATACAGTTATGTTTTTTATAATAAAATGATGAAATGGCAAAGTCTTTTTCAGATTCTTAATCTTTCATCCAAAAAAATTTAACTATGTGTACCAAGTCAGAGTGCTGCAATTGTAGTTCTTAAGATATTAAGAACAAAGTCTAATAATGAAATTTATGTTTTGTAATGGTAATGATAAATTTTAGTGATGCTAGAAAAAAATCTAAAACCTTGTTGCATTGAATTTTCTCTTTTGCAGACATTTATCTTCAGTGAAGTAATCAATTCTGAAACATGGGAAAAAGTATTAACCCCTTCCCAACGTCATTATCTGATGGTGAGAAAGTTTAAAATTTAATTCATACTATTTTTGTTTAAATTTTATCATCTTCAAATTGACCTTCTTGTCACTAGTCATTTTGATTTTTAAGTATTATCCATTATGAGGTCTACATAAACAATATTTGCTGAAGAAGAAACCTTTATTTATTTATATATATATATACACACACACACACACACACACACACACACGGAACTGAAGACTTGTTGGTCCCAATTGTGTATAGGAATGTATATTTATTTTGTATATGATACAAAATTGTGACACAAGGCTAAAAGGGAAAGTGGAAAAAGCTGGTCTTCACTGACTATCCTAGTCTTAGTTTATCACAACCATTCATTCTTTACAATATACCCAATCACCACAAGAACTTATCCATCATCTCTCAATCCTACACATACCACAATACCACATATTTACCGGAGACCTACCAAACACCCTGTGACATAAAAATTCATACATGTTTAAATGTCTCTTTTTGTTTTCTTTTTTTCTTTACAAAAGTATATAAAAATTTATATAATAATGAAAATAATGGAGGAGGGAATGAACCCACAAACAAAACTAAAGAATGCAACAAAACAAACTAAAACTTAATGTATGTTAGTAGGACCCATCCACCCCTCAAAATAACAAGAGTGGCCACTGTATTCTGCTGATAAACAGAATCAAGAAGCACACTCACTAATAGAGTGGGATGGATAAAAAATAAATGACAGAATAGGAAAATCAAAGGCTGACCCAGTCGAGATGAAAAAAAAAAAAGTTAGAGGTTACGAATCTTGACATGGATCATAACAAAAGAGTAGGCCAGGAACAAACCTGGAGCAACACATTCATGTTAACTAGGAAAATAAGAAGTGTCCAACCAGGGGAGGGTTCACAGGAAACCACCCCATTGCATTAAGAGGACTTAAGAGAAAATCATGCGAACCAGGCTTGCTAGATTTTCAATGTGAGCTGATGCCCAAAGAATCCAACGAGATCCTGATAAGAATAACGCTCATATTGCAAGATTCCCTCCATTCGTGACATTCACACCACCATTCTTGCCACAGCTATTAATGGGAGAAACACCACCCATTTCACCCTGGAGAAAGAGGGCAACACATTGTTACATGTGTATGTGAGATCGATTGGTACAAGCTGATTGGGAGTGACAAGAACCATAATCACACTGACAGAAAGGGCACATCTGAGGATAATGGTAGAAGGCATGTGAAGCCATTTCTTCTAAGCCAAGGTCACACCAATGACAGTCAGGCAAATCTGCTCCACCCTATCTGAAGGCTACATCACTGAGAGGTAGCACATTCTGAATCAATCACCAGATAAGTGAAAACTCAGGGTTTCTGAGATAGTTCGCCGCTAATGCCCAAGACCAGAAAGAGCACAACTGATGCCAACAAGCCAAGCCGGCCACAAAGATTGTCCATCCTGACCCCCTCTACTAGATCATAATACAATAGCCTATGAGGCTGTGAAAGGTCACTGGACCAAGGAATGAACCTTAAGCCCATCCAACACTCTCACAGAAACCACGATTGATTTTGAGGCTTACAATGACGCTCAGCCTCCAAAATGGTAATAGTGATGGTAAAGCTAAGGCAGGTGTCCCTAACACTCGTCTCCAAAAAAAGTCCTCTGTCAATGCACAGTGTAGGAAAACCAACCTTGAAGTGTGCCGATGTCACAACAAGTGGGCATTCCCAGCACCCCATGACATGGACGTTGAGCAACACTCTGCAGACCAGATGCTTGTGACACCCCACAAAAGGGTGGCCAGCAAGCGATTGAGCACCTTTTTTTCTATTCTTGCAGAGAGGAAGCACAGCTAATTGATAAAGGATAATAGGATAGTGGCACAAGCGTCAGCTTTACCCTTTATGGACAACTGTCATCGAAGCCAAGTCTGGACTGTTGCTCCAACCTTTGATTGTACCTCAGACCAATTCTTCTTCAGCTGGAGACCGGGTCTGAACCACATTCCAAGAATACGGACTGGTCTGTCTGTCCAACTAAAGGGACCTGGAAGTGCGACCCCCTTCCAGACACCTAACTGCAAACCAGGCATGACTTGTGGTTAATTTCGCCCCCCCCTCACTATTTCATATTGCTCAAGTGCCTTCTGTACCACCTCAATGTTGCTATGGCAGAACACAAAAATAGGTACATCATCAGCATACACAGAAACCCTGGCTTGATCTCCAGGGACAGTAATTCCGTGTAGGGCTGGACTGCATGCCCTCTCCCTTAGCCAGTGAAAGAGGAGTTCCAACATCAAAGTGTAAAGTAAGGGTGATAGTGAACAACCCTGACAAACCTACTGTGACAGTGCAAAAGCACTCGATCACTTTCCGTTCACCTGTACCACAGCACTGGGGGAGCAATACAGGAGGCTGATCCACCTGCAGAAGTTGTGTTCAAATGTGGTGGCATGCAGGACAGTAGCCAGGTACTGATGGTTGACTCTGTCAAATGCCTTAGATTGATCCAAATTGATCAATGTGGCTTCATCGTCATCTTCTATGCCCTCTAAGATTATGCAGATCAGATGCAGGTAGCTTTCAATTGTTTGTCCCTTCACAGCACAAGTCTTTTCAAGTCCCAACAAGCTTATGACAACTGACTGCAAATGCTCCATCAGGATCTTGGCCCAAATCTTTAACTCTATGTTTAGCAGAATTATGGGCCTATAATCATCTAAATCCGGCCCAACACTCTTGACCTTTTTCAGCAGCATGATCATACCCTTGGACATTGGATCAGGGATTGACTCCAGCCAGAACCAGTTGTTGAATACGACTATCAAAATCGGAACAAAGATGTGTGATAGTCTCAAGTACAATCTGTAGGGCAGATCATCAAGTCCCAGAGACTTGCCACTGCTGACCCTCTTCAATGCCAAGTGAACTTCGCCCTCTGTGATCTCTCCCTTGCTGCTAGCCACTTCAGTTGGCTCAAGCTGAAGAAAGTCAGCCAAATAACTGTGAAACTCATCACCACAGTGACCAGGCTCCTTGGTAAAATGGCTCTCAAAATGCCACCAAAACGCTTCACATGTCTTTGGTTGACCTCAGAGAATGCCCCTCTGTGGTATTTTGTTTAATCTATGCCTAATTACCTGACCCTGGTGGTGCTTGCTAGCCTCACGGTTCAGAGCCTACCTAGCTAATGCTATTCACTTGGGACAGACTATCCTCTAGAGTCTTCACCATTTTAGCCTTATCTAGAGTGAGTTGTTGGCTGTATTCAGTGGTGAAAGACCTAATTCTATGCTTAAGCCTCTCCCACCACTTATTCCCAATAATCACCCCCACTAGTTCCTGCTGCACTAATCTAGTTAGCTGTTGCTGGAAGTCCTGCTTGTCTTGTAATGCAGACTGGCTGGAAATTTGCAGGGGACAGGACCTCTATGGATTGTACTAGGTTCTTTGTACCCATCTCTGACATAATCTGTCCATCTGCTGACATCCACTGGGAATGTTAACTTAAGTGCCCTATATAGAGAGGGGTGGAGCCGAATTGGGACCCTGCCAGTACACAATTGAGATAATTATTTAAGGTTAGGAAACCCTGTTTGGGCCATCCTAATGTTCGGAAAGATGTCTTTAGCACCTGCCAAGTGGTCCCATACTTTTAAATTGCCTCCTGTGTTATGGATTAGCATAATAACTCTGTGATACATGATGGAAAGTTCCTAGGGTCCTCTGCTGATGGGAAGTCGATGGTGGTACACTTAAAAAGGGGTCTCAAAAAGACATTTCGTTGTGCAGACAGGTCTCTCTCTCTTGGGTCTGCCTGTCTATAACACAAATCTTCTCCCCCTTGGCAAATGATTTCTTCTTTTTTGGGGATAGGTTGGGGGATGGAGAAGTTAGAGCCCTAGACAAAGAAGGAGAGAATCTCCTTGCCTTACTTTTGGCATCTTGTGCATTGTTTTTTGCTGGCGAAGCAGAGACAGATTGAGTCTCGGTTTTATCCATGGCTTTCTCTGACCTGCTTCGGCCAGACTTCTTTTCCATCTTGGTAACCTTCTCCTCTTTCTCTTCTTCCTCATCCCTCACCCTTCTCAATGCGGAGGACTGAAGTGGCATCTCTTCCACTTCCATGTAGCGGTTCGGCTGTGGCAAATCCTCCAAATTGCTGGTGTTTCTGCTGAGTCAGCTCCTGCCGCTGTTGCTGATTTTTGAGCTGCTGATGCTGTCAATGCAACTGCTGTTGTTGGTGCTGTTTTATTCTCCTCCAACTGCTTTTACGGTTGCTCCTTCTGCTGCTGCTGCTGCTGTGGCACATCCCTCTGAGAGAGAGAGAGCAGGGGCAGCAGCCTTTGACCCCTTTTTCACCACCTCCCTCATTCACCGGAACCATTGCCAGACTTATCCTCCACCACTGCTTCCTTGGCTGTATCTGGTTGAGGCATCAGATTTCAGCTAGGACACACTTTTGCCAAGTGACTGGTGGCACTACACAACCAACGGTGGGGTCTTCTGCCCTCCATTACAACAAAAATTCTTTTACCCCTACACATCAGAGTGTAGGGAATTTCTTGGAACTTTTTCCTGTCCAGGATTACTTGGATGGAGAAATTTCTTGATGGCTACACCAGCCTTGCTCAATACATGATGGACTTCCTCAACCAGCCTATACAAGGTAAAGAAGGCTTCTACGTGATCCTTGGTAATGTCCAAGCGCACCCCGTGTATTGTAATTCTCATCCTATGGGTGCCCATGTACTCGGCCTGCAATTGTAGTACCTTTGTCATTAGTATTGTTATATTTTCGTAAAAAAAAAAAAAAGAAAGAATAAAAAAGGAAACTAGCTTTCTTGTCCACGTGACTTTTCACACGTTCCCATTCCTCTTTAAAAGCTGTGTTCTTCTTCCTTTTCACGTACATTTTTACTTTTTATTAGTGTTTAAAGCTGGAGGTACATTTAGCGACAATTATAAAGTATAATTTCATAATGGTCAGATTAAATAATACATATTTGTTGATTTAAGCTCAAATGAATGAGCCTTAAGAAAAGGTTATTCTATCCTAGCTTTCTTCTCTGTACTACGTAACAAGTATGCTCCCTGCTAGCAGCTTTGCTTCCTTCTCTGATGCCAGTAGTATGTCCCACATCAAATTTGAGCACTTTGCCAAATTTTTTGGGATTATCTTGAGACATTTCAGTGCCTCCTCAATGGCCTCTCTGCTGACGCTGAACAATTACAGGATTTCACATCTGTCATCTGCAAGGAGATAGTCCTCGTTGTTACTGAGTTTAAAACCTCCAGGATAGTGAGCAACTCATTTCCATTGGTAAAATCCCAGTACTCCTCCTTCATCCGGTCATAATAGGCCACATCCTTATTTTGGCCTATTTGAAGTCAAAAAGATGGTGTCTGCCTGGATAACAATTGGCTGGGGAGATTTGGCCATTGTGGTCGTGACCTTACCACAGCACACCAGCATGAAAAAAACTTCCAAAAAACAGCACAACAGTTAACACAAAATATTATTATACATGACAAAAAACATGGTCACAAACATAGACAAAGATTGAACTCATGGCAACAAAGCTTCAATCAAAAAATGGGCTATTCCAAGAAAGAAAAACGATCTGTATTGGAATGACTCATTGTGTATAGAAATGACTGCAAAATATTTCCCTTCTCTCTCTCTAATTTATAAACAAAACCACACAAATGCATGCTGGGATTTTTTCCCCTAACCAATAAGATAGGCCACTTCTTGGTCTCACCCAACTCTGTTCTGGTCTTGTCTTCTTGGTCTCACGCTTGTCTGTATCCCTTTTCATGTGTTAATATTTTTCATGGTAAAGACATTTTTATTTGTTTCTTGATAGATCAGAATGCTCTACAGTATTAAATAATCATTTACTGCCTGAATCGCTCATAGACAGGTCAACCTGCATCCTATAACGGTACGCTGGCGTCCTTTTCATGGCAGACAAGGTCGAATTTACTGTTATAAATATTTTTGTCATATTACTGTGTTTTTAGAAATTTTAACGTAGAAAATTTGTCTTAATATTTTTGCCTGTTAAATTTTATTTTATCTTGTTATTGCATTTATTTAAACTTTTGTATCTGTTTGTTGGGCAAAAAATTCTTTTAATGCCATTTACTCGCCCATTTCTTAAGAATTGATTATTTGGAAGATGAGTCTTTTAAAAAGAAGATTGTAGTTTATAATTCTGACCTTGTTTCTAAGGTTCATGGTATGAGTTTGTTGATTAAATGGCATTTTTTTTCTTTTACATATGTTTTTTTTTGAACAAATATTTTCTATGAAAAACTTCATAAAAAGTATTTAATACTGTTTATCATAAACAGAATTTGCTTAAATACTTGTATCTATAAAAAAATGCGTCTAAACATAAATAATAAAAAATGTCAAATAAATGTTCTTTTCTTTATCTTGTTATTGTTTAGGATACATCAGATTTTATATTGAGTCTTTTAGAAAAGATTTTTTAGTGCTTGTTGATTGATTTTTTTCTTTTTTTTTTTATGTAGGAGATTTTATATTGTTTTTATACTTTTTTTTTTTTTTTTGGATATAGCTTTTATTAGAGACTTTATAAGGTCATGTATTCAAATTTTTATTACAGAAATTCCTGCCAACATTTCCAACAGATGACCTAGTACAAAAACAGATAACTGTTAAGTAAGTTTTGTAAAAGTTTTTCTTACTAAAGTATTTGCCCAATAAGTTTTCATAAAACCATAGTGAAATTTTCATTCAATTCTGAAGCTGAAGTTTTGAATTGTTTTAAAATGATGTTATTTTTCTACTGTGAAAAAAATGTAAAAACAAAATTAAAGTAAAAAGTATAAAATTGTTTTAATTGTCTGTTGCTTTCCTTTTAGAATGAACATAGTTCATTAACATTCTAGTATTTAAATAGAATTTTTTGTCTTTTTACTTTTATGATACTAACCTTATTAATAATCAATAATTTTTCTGACTTAATAGGCGGTTACTAGATGGAGATAATTTCAAGTTTGGGAACCCTCTGAAAAAGTTCCAAATGAAACTGAAAGGTGAGTTTTTTTGTTTGTTTTGTTTTTTAATCTACAAGATGACTACTTTTTAAATTTATTAACAGAATGATGGAGCTGACAGTTTAAGTAATGATGAAAGGATTATTCAAACATTATTAGTTAGAAGTAGTAAAAATGTCATCCAGTGATTAAAATGAAAATTTACTGCATTGCTTTTAATGTTCAGATTGTCTTCAGTAAGATTATTGAACATTAGAATTTATGCTTTATAAAGTTCATGAATTTAATGGCTTGAAACTCCTTCAGCAAGAAGTGTAATATCATTTGTAAATTCTAGATCATTTATAAGGATGCCATTGTTCCAATTCAGTTTTCACAGGGGTGTCTTTTAGAGCACTAATCAGTTAGGCATCTATGCAAAAGTTGAATAAGATAAAAGATGTTGCCTCTCCTTGTCTGATGCCTGATGTTGTAAATGTTTATGACAACTGGTTGTTTATCCATACACAGTTTGTTCTATCCTTGTAGAAACTTTCTGGATCTATATGAGCTTAGGGATCATATAATTACCCCACTCTGCAAACTTTGTTGCAGGGTAAGCATATGGAGGAAATTGAAGACCTTTTTGAAATTGAAAAATGCTACTGCTGTTGATATTCTGAACTCATGATTTAGCAAAGTGTATAATTGTTATCAATACAGCCATGACCTGGTTTGAAAGCTTCATTCTGGTGTGTGGTCTTGTGCTCCTTTGAATGCACCATGATGGTTGCTGCAACTGCCATATTTTCCTTTCTTGTAGAAACGTGTGAAATTCAGTTTTGTGAGACATTCTCCTGATGCTAAACCACAGATTAGTTAAGTGCTGGATTAAGATTTCATTTTCATCTTTCTATATAATTCACTCTTTTCTAACAGCTCTATATTTTTTCAAGGCATACATGACCTGGTGAAATTCTGTGGTTCATCAGATATATTCTGTATTCCCTATGAGGAACTCATATGGATGTGTATCATACACAAATTGCTGTATAGAATGTCCAGCCCATTGATCCAGATGCCTTTTCTGGTTAGTCATCACCAGCCCATTAGCTTCAGTGATCACCTTGTTGGCTCTAGTTCATTTGTCAGCAGCACTTTTTACTACCCTGCACAGTCTTCTGCTATCTCTCCTCATTTCTATGCCTTGCTGCTAGATTTCCCTATCATGGGGAATTTTAATCTTTCGGTACTTCTTATGATAGAGATTCTATCCATCAGACCAATGAGTCTTAGAGTTTTCTTGGATATCCACCCATTGTTCAGTTTGGTGTTGGTTCCCAATAATTTTTGTGAACTGTTGTAACTTTCAGGAATATTCAGTGTTTCTATATCAGCACACAATCTGTCCTGAAGCCTTTTTATCTAACTCTTCATGGTGCAATTTTTGGATGTTTTCTAGTTATCAATATTGAGCTATGGTATTTTAGAAGCACAAGATTTCTTACATCTGAAGTCAAGGGTGAATGTGGCACTGATCAGTGCATGGAACAGCAGGGTTTTCTTATTTCTGACTCACCAGGATGTGGTCAGTATGATCCTTGATGCTTCTGTTTGGTATACACCAAACTACCAGGTTCTCTCACTTGTTTTTGAAAACTGCCTTTGAAATAAATAGGTACTTATCAGTGTGCAGTGACATATGTACAATATACAATTTCTCATTATTAAAGTTCTATATCTTTTGCATATCCTGGATGCCCTTTCTTTCTCAGTTAGTTGGATGGTACACAGCCTGGTATTGGGGTGCTTCCACTCAAGAACAATACCAATTCTTTCCTGGCCTTGAGAGTCTGCCAGTTCTATAGTTAGCCATCTAGACCAGCAGAGGTGCTCAAATTGATACTACATTAGCAGTTAGCAATTTTGTATAACTACACTAAGGTCTGGTTTTTCATTAGACACATACATCAATGAGTAACTGTATCAGGGTTCATCTTTTGCTTATGTAGTAGATTTTGAATGTTTAGAATTCCAAGGTGGAAATTTTTGCCAGCTCTGAGAATAAGGTTGGGTCTTATGTCTAGTAGTCAACTTATCAGAAAGCCAGAAGACTGATGCATATTGCCTCCAGTATGCCACAGTATTTGTATTCACATCAACATGTCATAGATAGCTAAATTCATAATACTCAGGTTCTGAAGCAACTGTATTACTACTTGAAGAGAGCAGCCAAGGGAGTGCCAATCTTAAGAATGGTTTTCTGCTTGAAGTATCAAGATTTAATAACCTTAATGGTGAGGACAACTGCCAATTTTAATAAAAATTGGCAATTCTAGGTCTGTCCAGATCTGAATCATGTTTAGGTTTAGTTTATATCTTTTTTAGACTTTCTTATCACTGACTATGCATACTGCAGTAACACTGAATCCTACTACATTTTTTCTTGAGGTTTTGGGAACATGAAAGCCAATAATGCCCCATTTAATGTTTTCATGATAGAGTAAGTCCCATCATTTCCTATCATTTCAGTTAAACCAAAGAAGAAAAATATAATAGCAGATACACTGTTTTGATGCAATATAGTATGAATTATTGGTTTATAAATTATTTGGAATCTATGATGAATGTGATATTGTTCATTGTACTACCATGGTAAATTCCTTAATAATAATTTTTAATTAGTTAATCTATACCTGATATTATGATACTTAAAATATAATAAGGAACTGTGTTTTGTTTTTTAGGAACCTAATTTTGAGAGTCAATTTGTATAAGCTTTAAAGAGAAACATTTTCATGCTCAGTTTAGAATTGGTTATAATTGAACTGAATTATATCAGTTTGAGAAAAGAATATACTTGTTGCTTATCATTCTCTTTTCTTTTTGTACAGAGGGTGCCTTCTCTTCAGAAATCTCAAAATATCCACATTTGTATCGGAAATTCAAATTTCGAGATTACAAAATGCAGCAACAGCGATATTATACCAAACTGTTAAAAGAAATCATTATGTCCAGACAGGTAGTCAAACTATTTTTTATCCAGAAATTGCAACTTCATATTAAATTTATTAACATTGACTATTTGTTATTTATTTATTTACCATTTGCTTATATTATCCTTAAGTATTTATTTTGGAAAAAGGAATGATGCATAACCTAAGATGCTACAAAACCAAAATATTAACCTGAGAACTTAAGGCATGTTCTTAAATAGCCTTGTCAGATCAAGACTCTTATGGATGTATGTCATGCAATTGTCCAACTTCTTCAGAAATGTTTAACTTATCATCAATATACAAATGTTTTTGCAGATCAGTGATTAAAAATGGCTTCAAATAAATGAATGCTTTAGGTATTAATGAAGACAATCCTTCATTGGACTCTATAGACAGGCATCATAAATTCACAGATCTTTACCAAATAACAAAAACCACATCACTTGAAAACTTCTGACAGAAACAACAAAAATGCATAGCATATATAACTAGAAGGAAAAAATAATGATACATTCAAAATGTTAACTTTCCACACAGTGTTAAAAAAAAAAAACAAGTTTAGAAGAAAACTCCCATTCGTACTAGAAAGAGTGAAAACAGTGGACTTGAGAAGCTTAATTTTCTGAGAGATTGTTTTAAGAAAAATTCATGGATTTCAACTGACAATAATGTTTCCTGTATGCAAACAGCTAATTTCACCATTACCATTATCAACCCATTGAACATATGTTGATGTTCAGAGAATTTGTTTTTAAAGTTCATCTTCAGTTTTGAATTATCTTTTAATCTGTTTAACTAGTATGATTACCTATTTGAATCCATTACATATGATTTAGAAATCCAGACATTATAAAAGGAACATGAAAATATTTATCTTTGTATTTTTGATGTTAAAAGCATCTTTCTTATTTTTAATTTTAGCGTGTGTTTGAAATGGTATCCCAGTTACCCCCAGATGAGCTTCCAAAATTTTGCTACAACCCACCACCTCCTGCTGATCAAAGCATTGAACATTTAGTAAACAGGCGATGTCGTAGGTGAGCAGACATAAAATTATTTCATATATATTATTTTATCACATAATTACATTTTTATACATTTATTCTTTTGTTTTTTATTTAATTTTCAAAGAATTCTTAAAGAGGTTCAAGAGGAATGCAATGCAGATGACACATCATCAGAAGAAGAGCTGGAGGATGCTGGTGAGTATAAAGCACATCTATTTACATCTAAATAATATCACACTAGTATTATCATTTATGTTTCTGTTAGAAAGGTCTTCTATAATTATGAAAATGTATAGCCAATTTTAGGTTAGACAAAATATTCCTTTTATTATCTGTTTGCTTATAATAATTGTTTATTGTAAAATATTAAGTTATAGTAAGGGAGTAATATTATGCATTTGATAATATAAAATTTGGTTCATATATGCACTTTCCTAACTATTTGATATCTAAAACAAATGCCAGATATTTTTAATTACTGTATAATTTTTTTAAAATAATAAAAAATTGTGATTCATGTATGAATGAAGTTAAAATGACCTCTTTAAATTTGTATTGCATTTTAGTAAAATACAATGCAAATTTCGAAAGGGAACATAAATTTGTTAGTTTTAAGAGTAAATCTATAATGTGGGACATATATAAACTTCATAATATGCATATTCATTTCTTAAAGATTCTTACTTTTAGAAAATAATCAGAGGTAAAACAATTTTTCTCTTACCTTTTTGTTTTATTTCAATGTAAATGCAACATCAGGCATATACTCCATGTATTCATGGACTGAAATATGAATGAAATGTAAACATTTAAGAGTGTGCAAATTATCAATGTATTTTAGTAATTGGTCATTGGTCTAGTTAATTAACTCAGTTTTAGCAGTTCTTGATAAAAGCTTTCGGATGTGCAATATAAAAATTTAATTTGTTTTTCCTAAGAATCAGGGCCTCTGAGGTCTGGTTTTATGCTACTAGATATTTTTTAGTATTAGTAGCTTTGTACCAGACTAAGTTCACTCTTAGTAGATATTAATTTAGATAACATTTCACATGACAATAGAAAAAAATAATCAAAATAGTATTAACACAGAATAACTTGATAATGTAGCTTATAGGTGAAGAATTTAAAAAAACAAACAAACAAAAAAAAAACTGATTTTTAAATAGTTTGTTTTTCACATTTTGTTTTTCATCTGCTGCGGCAGCTCAGAAAAACCGAAAACAATTGCTCAAGTCTTCATATTCTTTGCCGTCACCTGAACCTGCTGCACCGGCTGTATTGGCCACTTACTCCACAAAACCTGTCACCAATGGGGAGATCACAGGTGAGAAGCAGCAATTTCTTTGTTTAGCTCACTGACAGAATCCTCCATTATTTGTCAATGTTTTATGAATGACTTGAACAGTTTCTAAACCAGTAGCAGTCATCTTTTATTTAACATGGCTACATTAGCAATTTACCATTGCTCATTCCCCAGTGGATGTAATCTAAAACCTAGTCTTGGTCTCTCATTATTTACTCTTATTCTGGACAGGTACTGCACGGTCTTCACTGTCTAGCCTTGGCAGAGTTCAAAAGTAATTACGCAGCCTTGTGGGTGATGAATTATTTTCTGCTTTGCAACTCTTATCCCACAGATGAAACTTTGCTAGTCTCCCAATACACTATTGCTATCACTATGGCAAATGTTCTAACAAGTTTCATTCCTTAGTCCCACCAGTTCAGACCTTCACAGCTAGGACCTGTCATGCCATGTTCACCATAGCAGACTATCCCTATTCATTTTCTGTTCCTTTGATAGTGAGCAAGTTTCATTCAATTTCTTTCCCCACAGCTGTTGCTTTGTGGAACAAACTCCGGACAGGATTTTTCCCTGATCACTACAATCTTAACCCCTTCAAGCCTAGGGTCAACTGTTTTATATCCTACATATCCTCATAATATGCACTTCCTGCTTTCTCCTTCATCCTCCCTTGCAACAATACCACTCAGTAACCCTTTGTGACCCTTGAGTGACTCTTTGGCCTTGTATTGGGTGAACTAAAGTAAAAAAAAAAAAATTAAAAAAAGAATCATCAAATGATTGAATTCCTACTGAATACTTGTAATTTTGTCCCCTAATCATTTTTATTGTTTTATGTAAACTCACTTATTTTGTACAGTTCATATCTAAACCTTAGCTAAATCATATCAGCTTAAAATGATAAATGTCCTTGTCTCTTTTTATAAGGTTTCATATGAAAATAGGAATTGATGGTCTTATTGATTTCTAAGGGTTAAGAATTATCATCAAGAAGGATATCCAGTTACAAAAATCATCCAAGACCATAATGACTCATTACAACCACAAACGTTTGTGTGATTAAAAAGATTATTAAAAACAATGGTAAAGAGGAAATGAACGTTTGTATGTAATACATGCAGCCAGAAATATTTTAGAGAATATTTTTCTCTCATTTTGTGAATTTGTAGTTTATATCAATAATAAACATATCTTGTGTAATTTATGACTTAACTTTTCACAAATTAGAGTGGAATATTTTATGTCCAAGGTTATTTAAAATTGTTTAGCTTTAAAAAGAATGTTAATCAGTTTCCTCTATTTCTAATGGATTATTAAATGTAAAATGATGCTGTACATTTGAAAAATAAAAACAATTGTTTTTTATTAAAAAAAATACCTTTATCTTTGTTTTTATGTAAATTTGTATAGTAAACTTTAATCTTTTATTCACAGATAACAACAATAGTCAGGGTAAAAAAGTCAGGCGTTTGTCCAGTCCCATTGAATTCTCAGATGAAGATTATAAAGCAATGTTACGAGATTATAAACGACGGAAAATGGAAAATGCTGTAAGTCAGGTTTTATATGATGTTTTATATTTATATATTTTACTACTGGATTACTTGTACAAAATATTATTGTTTATCACTTAAATGACTGTTTATCAATTGTTTAATTTAAAGAATGCAGATAAATGTATATGAGATTTTTGACAAATTTATTTGGCAACCTTTGAATTATAAAAATTGTAATATACAAAAATTATCTTTTAAGATGTGTAATATATATACAAGTATAGGATTGGTGTATACAGAATAATGTAATTAATGTATAATTAATGTAAGGGTAAAATGAAAAGGTAAAGGTATTGAAAAACGATTATAAAAAGTAATTTATTTTCTATATTGCACATCATTCAAAGTCAGATGTCATAACATTGAAAGGTTGATATTTTCTAAACAATCTTGCCCATTATTCCTTTTTTAACATAGTGTCTCATATAAACGCTAAATTCAATCTCATTGCTTTCAATGATGTTGGTACTTTTATTAGGAAAAATATTTTACTATTTCCTTTATTATGGCATATTTTTATGTTATCTTAAAAATTTTGGTAAAAGTGCCACAATATCATATTTTAAATTATTATAAATAAAAATTGATTATGAATATTTATAATCTCATGTTGATACAGTTAATATTATTTAAGGTCATTTTTTTGATCTTTCTATTTTGGTATAAGCATGTTTTTTTTTTAGATTCTGTTATAACTCACTCCTCGTGGTTATGATATTCTTCTTGCTTAGGCTACTTGCCATGACATCATTAGAAGTCTCTCTGATTGACTTCAACAGACTTTTACTTAGCCATTTTGAGTTCTTTATTTAAGGCTTCTTACCAAGTTCAGTTGTGTTACTGGGAGTGTCTTATTTACTCTACAACATCCCCACCTTTTTTGATATTTTTTTTTCTTTTATTTCACTAGTAAATACTGCTTCTATACCATAGTTACTAGCATCCAAAGCCAATATTATTTCTGCTTTTGGATCGTAGTACTTTAATGATAAGTCTGATGTTAGTATTTTCTTGCCTTCTGACACTTATCAGTCCAGTTCCACTTTATGCCTTTTTTAAGCAAATTGTTCAGTGGAGCTCTCAAATTCTGCATATTAGATATATAGATTTGATAATAGTTTGCTAGTCCCAAAAATGCATTTAATCTAGTAATGTTTGTTGGAGGAGGCATATTCGTAATTGCACTTGCCATTAACAGATCTGGTTGATGATCATTTTTGTCAATGATTTGTCCTAGATACTGAGTTTGAACTTGTATTCTTGTATTTTTCAAAAATTCTTTTCATATGCCTGATATATTGTTCCTTAGATACACTTTTAATTAATATATCATCCAGATAATCAACTGCAAAATCACAATCTGCAAGCATAGTATCTATAGCTTGTTGAAATATAGTTGGAGCCACTTTTACCCAAAAAGGAAGTCAGTTGAATCCCTTGTGTGTATATTAACTTTGAACATTCTTCTTCAACCTGTATTTGCAATTATGCTTCAGAAAGATCCAACTTTGCAAAAAAACTTTCCACCATTTAAATTTCCTCAGTACTTGTTAATGGGTAGTTATGGGATTCTAAAGATTTGTTTAACCCTGTCAAAATCAGCACAAACATGAATTTTATTATTTTTTTTTCTTTACCTACACTGCTTGTGCTGTCCATTTTAAATGGTGAATCTTTTCAACTACCCCTATTTTTTCAAGTCTGTCTAATTCTTTGTTGACTTGATCCAGTTCTGCAAAGGGTACATTATGTTTTGGTTTAAACACTGGCGTGAACCTTTTTTCACTTGAAATTTTGTTTTGACTTTGAAACACCGACCTAACTCATCTGATAGAACATCCAGAAAACATTTTTTTCAATTCTTCTTTTAAATTTTCACACTGTTTTAAACTGGTAGCTTGTCCACTTATATTTTTTACAATAAATATTTATAGGTAAAGCCTACAACTTAAATAATACCATCCAGTCAGTGCTGAATAAGTTTGTAGTCCTTTTTAAGGTATAAACCTTAGCTTTTACACACTTGTTACAAAATGAAACGTTACAAGCTACTTTACCAATAAAAATAATTTCTTGCCTGATATGCCACATGTGATTTTTCAAAGTTCTTTTTAATATAGGTATTCCGTTTGCTTTCCATGTGGCTACATTGATTATTGTGATATCACTACCAGTGTCTAGTTGCATTTTTCCATCCACATTATTAATTTTCACATACACAAATTTTCTTTGGTTTTCTGTAATTATTTTTTCCATTGCAACGCTGTGTATGAATTTTTTTTCTGTGAGAACTTGCTTTAGTTTTACAGTGTGACTTTTTATGTTCTACTTTTCCACACTTGTAGCATTTTGAATTCTTAAAATGACAGTTGTTTCTCAGATGTAACCTTCCACATCTGAAACATGGATTAATTTTTCTTTTTCCACATTTTTCTTTAGCTTGTATGTATGCACATTCTTTTTCTTCATTTTCTTCAGTATCACATTTCAGATTTAGGATTTTATGACATTTGTCCGATATTTCTTGTAGTGTTAGTTTTTGATTTTGTTCAAATTTCATTAGAATTCTTAACATGTATTTCTTCACTTTTTTTTTTTTTTTTTTTTTTGCACCATTAACCCTTAATGAAAATTAACCCTTTAAGCATATTCAGGGTCAGTTCATTTAATTTGAATCTTTCACATTCCTTATTAATGATTCTAGCATATGTGACAAAAACTTTGTCTTCTTTTTGTGTCAGATTCATACACTTCCAAAGAGTATTCAATAACAAACTTTTCTTGCTAAAAGTTTTAGTCAGAATTTTTACTGTTTTTTTAAAGCAAATTTCTTCTGTTTTTTGGTGTTACAAAATTAAAGTATTTTTTATGTTGTACTGGTACTAACCTTCTCAACAAAAGTCTTGTTTTTTCTCATCTTCCCAGTCGCTGCATTCTTCTCTGAAAACTTGCTCATATCTTCTAAAATAAGCAGATAACGTAATGATTATAGGTGAATTCAGTTATGGCATTTGCCACTGCATCAGGAGTGAAATAACTTGGTGAATTTTCCGTTTTCTTCTATATTATTTCAATTAAATTTTGTTGTTTTTGAAGTTCCAACAACTGCTGTTATTGCTGTTATTGTATTTTTACCACTTGGGCTAATAATGCTTCCATATTTAAAGAATATCTCTTTTTTTCCTTTCTTTTACACACATCGAAGAAAAGAATTAACACAATGTGGTTCTAATTTTTCGTTGTCACTGTTATGTGCACCAAAGCAAAAATTACATTTTCCTACTGCATATGAGTTTTGATTCCTTGTTAATACTGTTATAACTCTCTCCTAGCAGTTATGATATTATGTCTTGTTTAGGCTATTCCCCATGATATCATTAGAATTCTCTCTGATTGACTGCAACAGACTAATATTTATTTTTGTAAAAATACAAAAAGTGTAGCACAAAGCCAAAAGTGGGGATGGAGAAGGCTGATCATCATCTGTTTTATGTTAAACTTAGCTAGCCACAATGACTGACCCAAACAAACTATACAATATTCCTTGCACCAAAATGCCACATTCTAACTTACCATTTTTACTACAATCACCATGATACCTCAAAGTCTCTATGAAGTTCTAACTAATCCCCATTATGTACAATTTGTCTGTAGTGGTGTTAAAAAGGAAAACCCCAATGAATATTTACAATATGCATAATACTATATATACAAGAAACTAAACAAAATGGTCTTAGTATTAAAAAAAAACCACACAATCCTTAATTGTCGCAGAAATATCAGTTAACTGTACAAAATAAATGTGAGATTTGGATGAATTAAAAATCAATCATTTGATCAACCACACACATGATTACACACTGATTCAACAATTATGGAAGAATACACGCGAAAAATGAAAAGTGTCAAACATCCACCAGAGAACTGAGATTTTTGGTCACCTAGGTGAATGATGCCTCATCATTAGTGAGGGATTTCAACCCAGGCACCTAAGGCCATATGGAGTGAGCCTCCTGTTTCGTTAAACCGAGCTCGCTAATCTTGACTGGACGTCCTCAGTAACACCTGATATATTGCCTTACAGGACAACACCTGGACCTCAGAGAGGCCATCTGTTGCCTGTAAGAGCAACTTGAGAGTTAACCGGCATTCATGATAGAAGGAGCCCTCGCCTCAAGGTAAACATCAGGCCTCCTCCTCGCATGAGTGCACATTTCTCTGGGATGGGAAGTTCGTACTGGCATCTTCCTTCCTGTCTGCTTGCAAACACATTCCGTCTAGGAACATAATGCAAAGCGTATATTGATGAATCTCAATGCTAGGCATATCCAGACCACCTTCAGAAGGGTGGAAGTAACAAACATACCTTGGGAGCTTTTCCTCCACACAAGGAGAACAAGACCCTAACTAATTGCATTAATATGGCATACAGGAGTGGAAGTATGGAGAGTCGGTAAAGGAGAATTGGGTAGATATATGAAACTCATACTTCCGCCTTCCCCTTTTAGGAAAGATTCCTCCAAGACCACAAACGAACTGTACCATTGACCTTCTCCCGCACCTCCAACCAATTTATTTCCAGCAAGAGATTGGGACTGAACCAGGGAGCCATGTTCAGTCCGATAAGGGTTAGGACTTGGTATTGAACTTAGCCAAGGTGAGGCCACTGACAGTGTTTCCCATTGACTCATGGCCCATCTCACTCTTGACGGTGCTATCAAGAGACAGGCCACAAATACTCCAGGGAAATGTTAACTGTAGTGCTCTATAAATGGAGGAGGTAAACAAAAAGTGGGGGCGTCCGTGAACAGAACTGATTTAACTTTTTGACATTGTCGTCATCAAAAAAATCAAAGGCAGGAACGTGGAGAATACATCATTTGGTTCTTGTAAAATCACCCAAATCTTTTGAGAACCATGTCCAGACCTTACTATGGTAAAATCCTTTTTGTTTTGGGGAAATTTTTAGGATCTCCAACATCTTTTCCGTTGATTTCTTTAAGGTTTAGTAGAATTTTTTAAGTCTTTAATTTTCCTTGATTGAATAATTGTTTTATCTACCTGCTCAGGTGTCACTCAGCACACATCCTCTCCGGTATTGTAGGGGTGTTTGGATTTTTATCTTTTTCTGTGTTTGTGATGCTTTTCTTGGCTGATGGTCTGCATTGATTTTTCTGTTTTTCCAATTTCTTGGGTGAGGTCATGGATGTAGGTGAAGGGGATGGATTGGGAGTGAATACAGGAGTTTTTTTGTTTGAGATTTGGTAGTGGGAACCCTTTTCAGAGTGGTCATTTTGGTTGGAGTGAGAACGATTTGGTCATGGGGTGGTGGAGACATGATTACCTTTTTCAGTGATGGGGAAGATGGTGCCAAGGAAGAAGGGCCAATTTTTTTCTAGATGATTCTGATGCTATTTTATTTCTTTTAGTTGATCCAATCTTTCAAACTTTCTAAAGCTGGGCTTGTATCATATTCTTTGTTGTCAGATCTTTTCTGAATATATGGCTGGGGCATTGCCCTTGGAACTGGTAGATGGAATGGGGCTGTGTGTGCCTTTTGCTATGGTGGTTTCTGGGGAGAGGAAGTCTCACAATCTGGATTTTCCCTTTGGTCTTACCAACAACCTGCCATTCCCCTTTCTCTGCAACTGCACAAGTGGTGGGTAAAGGCTTTTCGGGCCAAAGCTCCAGAAGCCTGCTTCTCAGGGCAGAAAGAGGAGAGGTGACCCCCTGCAAGGACATCAGGGTTTTGATGATGGTGTTTGTTTTTTTTTTTTTTCTTTTGGGAGCAACAAGTTTTCAGTGAATGCTTATAGATCACAAAAACTGACACAATTCTTTTTTCAACCTTCTGTAATTCCTGAAGTTCTACCAAAAGCCCATCTTCTTTGATATGATGTTTGTAGCTCTTGGCTGTCTCCAACAACTCCTGTTGATTATGCACTTCCAGCAAGAGTGCAAGTCCCCAGCCACTAAATTTTCATCTTTGCTTTTGCTGTTGTTGTTACCGGAGTTCATTGGCAACACCTTTTCTTGATTTTGGCTATTGCTGGCTTCCATACTTTCCATTGAATCGATTTGGTCAATTTTTTGGCAATGGCTACGTTCTCAGTAGTTACTGTTGATTGAATATCTTTATCAGGAGGGTCTTTTTTAATTGACCAATATTTATCAGCCATTTTTGCTTACTTTAAATTACTTTTCTTTTTTTTCCCCTTTTTTTTTTTTTTAATGAAAAAGGGAATTTTAAAAAAAAAAAAAAAAAAAATAAGTAAATAATAAAAAACCTTAAACAGATACAGAAAAATGAAAAACAAATTTACAAAGACAATGAAATAAAAAAGACTAACTTAGGCCGGTTTAACAAAATGGGTTTTGATGTAAAAATTGTTACAAATTAAAACAAAGTCCTTGAAAAGAAAAAACAAATTTAACAATGAAAAAATAGAACAAAAACACATGCGGAAAATGTTTGACATGAAAAATAAAAGGAATAAATTTACTGAAACAACACAATCAACTAAAAAGGTTTCTCTTTTTAAAATTAAAACCAGCAAAATAAACAAATTATGAAATAAATACTACAAAAGAAAAAGAAAAACGACAAGTGTAAAAATTTTTACCAATTAAACAAAATGGCCAACTAACACATAAAGAAATAAGAACAAACAGATTAAACAAAAACTAAATTGGCTTGTGGATGAGTGGAGACAAATAAAAATTAACTTTAGTACACAAAAAAAAAGGAAGTAACATGTAGAAGATGAAAGCCAAAAGGATTAAACAAAAAGAGAAGATATCTGAAGAAAAAAAATAAGATAAAAATATTAAGTTTGTGGATGGGGACTGAAAAATAAAAGAAATTGAAAATTAAAATATAATATACACAAAAAATAAATGAAAAGGCTAGACAAACTAACTACAAAAGTAAAAAGATTGAGAAAGGTGAAAAAGAAAATTCAAAAAAATTTAAAAAATAAGAGATTAACTTAATGTAAACTCTAATTCTTCTGCCAACACAAAAATATGAGTTCCAATTGGTTAGCGACAAAAATATATCAAGTGCGTGGCAAGACTAGAATCTGCCTGAGTAAATGAACTCTGAACTGACTCCAATGGACTTTTACTGACTCACTTTGAATTCTTTATTTAAGGCATCTTGTCTAGTTCATCTGAGTTACCAAGGGTATCTTATTTACTCTACAACAGATTCTTATACTCAATGTGAAAATATAAATTTTGTACAATATTTAATAATTTTTCATGAGTTAATTTATGTTTTATATACACAATTTAGATAATTTGTGATATTAAGTATATTTGTTATATTATTACAAAATTATTCATATTTTCATTTACTTTTTATCTTAATTTGATACTAGGATTTGCCAGAAATGGATATCAATTCCATAACTCTCCAAGATATATTAGCAAGATGCCAAGCTGGGAAAAAACCAGTACCAAAATCTCCTTCAAGTAAGTATTAGTAAAATCTTCAATTGGTATCTTTTTTTTTTTTTTTTCTTAGCAAAAAAAGATGTTAAAGTCTGCCTGTTTGTATAACAAAATGTATCATTTGGTAAAAATATGCCCAGTTACAAGATGTAATTCTTGGTTTCTTTTTAATTCTGACAATTTGGAGGTAGTCGATTGTTATAGTTTAAAAATAAAAAGGGGTTTGGACAATTATATTTTTTTAAAACAGTGTTTAGAAATATATATATATATATATATATATATATATATATATATATATATATATTTTATTTAATTTTTTCAGATGTTCCAGAAAGCACTGCATCAACCAGTCCTGCTAGTGTGAAAAAAGTAAAAAAGAAAGGAGAAAAGATACGCAAATTGAAAGCTGGCCGAGTAGACAGCATTGCCAAAAGAATGTCCATTTCCAGTCATGAAGATGCAGCCAACCTTGAAATCCCAGAATTACTTAATCGGGATGAAGAATGTGTTCCAGATTTTCCATTACCTGAGTAAGTTATTCCTAAAATTGTAAATTCCTGTTATCAAATATCATAATTGTTATAATCATAATTAAGTATTTTTTTCAGTTTTTAACTTGGAAATCTCATCACCATGAGGAAGTGTTTACAATTTTCTCCCCACCTTTTTTTTTTTTTTTCTTTAATGTCATGCCCCCTCAGCATGTAGTCAGTCATGGTTCTCCATTTTTCTCTATAATGTTGGATTTGGGATTTTTATTTCTGAAAATTTATTTACTACTTTATGCTTTTCATCCTTATTTGTTTTACAGTGAATATTTTTGCATTCTTGTAAAATCTGGGTTAGTGAAGTAGTATACAAACCAGTCAACATAATATTCTATTACTTTTTATTTTGTAGAGCTTTACCACCCAAGCTACCATTTGGACAGTATGATAATTTTTTCAGTCTTCTAAGAGATCTCATTAATGAATTTCCTGATTCAAAAGTAACAACTGCAAAAGTGAGTATTATAATCTTTATTTTTGTTTTGGTTCTATTGTTGATAAGGGAACTAGTTTAGACTTTTGAAATTTATTATAATAAATATAGAAAACAACTTTTACATGTTTTAATAGCTAACTTGATAAGTTATAATTGATTTGGCTGCCTTTTTTGTAGATTGTTATTCAGTAAACATTTATGAGGGGGTTTTTGAAAAGTTCCCAATCCACTTTCAGAAATTTGGCTAAATGATCAAACATTACAGATTTTTTTTTTTTTTTAAAGCTTCTTGGTCAAGCTGAGAACTTATCAGATCTCCCCATAGTATAAACAGTTAGTTTACATGATAACATTTTTGACTTTATTAATAATTTTGTTGTTACAAATTGTTAATTCATTATTCTGAAACATTTTATTCCTTTCATTGATATTTGAAAATAGTTTTAGTATGTATATTTGTGCAAAACTGTGCAAAACTTTTATAACTAGAATGATTATATATATTTTTGTTGGTTACTAAAATTTTACAAAATAAAGAATTGTCAGTTTGCTCTTAACTGCTAAATCTCTAACAATTATTTGAACTGGTTAGCAGCATTTAAATTTATTCTAAATAACTTCTTTTTTCATGATTACTTAAGTTGCTTACAGATTTAATTTTAGGAAATTTGTTAGAATGGTACTTATATCATAGCAAAATTTGTTAGAATGGTACTTATATCACAGCAAAATTCTGCTTTGATCAACAAATTTCTGATTATAACAATAAGTTAATTAATGTACATTAGCCCCATTTCATCTGCTGAAAGTTGAGATTTTCCAATCATAACTTTGAAAATTTGCTTTTACAAATATCTTTCTGATATGTTTTAATCTTTTTAAAAGTTAGTTTTTATTCTATCATTTTCTTTTCATTCATACGGAGATATTCTAAAAGATATCTTAAGTTTAAAATGTTCTTTCAGGCTGTCTAATTTTATACATTGTAGACTTTCTGAATTGTAAAGTGTCAGGTGTATTTTTTATAGTACATGTTTTGATTTTTGATTCATTTATTTCACAACTGAAATAAAATTTTTATTAATTCTATATTTTATTGATGTTGGTTGTCATTGTTTTAATTTATTAAGTTGGAAGAAAAAGTGCGTGATTGGCAAGAGTCTCCAACAACTTCCCTTAATCCTTGGTTATCCCAGCAGAGTAATTGGATTGACAATGTTATACCTGCATTGAAATTTCTCTCTGGGGATGTCTTAGGTAAGTTCTGACATAGAAAAATGTACTTTTACTTTATTACTAATTTGTAAAAAAGAATTCAAGCTTTACATTCTTAACTTTTGGATCTGGGTTGATAGCCAAAAATATTTCCTCTGGAAATGTTTAGTCTGTGAAACAATAGCTAGACTTCACTTCACAAATATACAGGAAATAGTAATACTTATGAATTAGTAAAATTTATATTTCTACATATTTTTATCTCTGAATTGTAGTTTATACTTATTATATTTAATGAATTAGATTTCCTGCATGAATCATTATCGGGACCAATGTATATTATCCCTGAGCCTGATTGGAGACCCCAGGCAGTGCTTTGTGACCCTTGCTATCTTATCAATATTTGCTTTTTTTCTCCCTACATTTATGTACATCACAAATTAAACTAAACACAACTGATTGAAGGATGAAAAATTAATGTTGAATGTGTTAAACTTATTCAACTTTTTAACAACAAAAATCTCCAGTTGATGTTAAAAATTGCTACAAAACATTGTTGATTTATTTAAGATGGAATGATCTATTATGACATGTCTCTAATTTGTATATTTAGATACATCTTATTTATTTTCTCATTGAATTGTTCACCTCTATTGTATATGATCCATTATTGTATATAATTAGTTAACAATAAAATGAAAATTGAGATGTAGCTCCTTATCATAGATTAGGGGGGTGTCAGATTGGGGGGATGAGACCCTTGCACTGGCCCTGATTGTTATACTCAAGTAATGAATCATATATTATTGTTACAGCAGTATTTAAATATCAGTGGATACTATATTAATGCCTCAGATTATCATTTTTAAAATTATTTTTTTTATAAAAATCTTTGAAATTGATAGATTTTCTCTAATCATTTTTTGTATGACAGTGAGTTATCATATTCTATATGGTTCTATTTTGTTCTGCCTAGGTTTCCAAGTTGAAAATTTTGTTCCTTTCCTTGACTACAAAGAGCGTGCTCAGCAGTGGAAGTGGATTGGTCAAGGACGAGATGTTGATGAACAGTTAGGCCAGTTGTGTAAGTACTGGCTCAGCAATAAAGATGAAAAACATGCAGATACTCAGGAAAGCAACCCAGGAAGTCCACCTCCTCCCAGGGTGTAAGTATCTTTTTATTTTTTTTGGTTAAAATTAAAAAGTTAATTTATAGTAACATTTTTCTTACTAAATATTCTACATCTTGAACAATAATTGTATTTGTATTTAAGATATAAAAATATATATATTTCTTAAATATATATTAACACTCATTAGATGGAAGTAGAGAAAATGCCAATACAAAAGCATTATTACATGGAGAAATCTAAGTTATATGCAACAAACATTTGTTTATCATAAGAGGTTAAACAATTGTTTGTAAGGATACAAACCACACTAAAGACATCAGTTCTGTGACATTTTAAAAAATATGCTGGCAAAATGATGGTCCTGTTTGTTAAAAAATAATAAAATGAAACCTTATGAACAAAAAACTTTGATACTATTTGATTTTCATTAATGCCATAAATTTGATATGTTCTAAAAGTTTAAAATAAATTCTATTAGACTCATTTTCCTCTAAGTTGATCATCAATTCAATTTTGACTAATCATATAAGTAACACATAAGTAAGCTTTCACTTTAATACATTATCTACATGTCATATATTGTGGTATTTGATTTAGACTCCTTATTATTTCCAGGAAAACAAATTATGTTGTAAAACCAACAACAGATGAAGAAAAGCTCAGTTTCAAAGAGCAAGTAAGTACAGCATTTTGCTGATTTTTTTTTTTTTTTTTTAACATTTTTTAAAAAAATTGTACACTTTAGAAAATCAATATATAAAATATTATCAAATGCCAAAAATTTCTAAATTTTCCATTTTCAGGAAAGAAAGCGATTTGAAAGTCCACATCTTGGGTTTACTTATCATATGCATGGTTATGACTCTGTAGTTGGTCCAGTGAAAGGAGTCTATAGTAAAGATAATGCTATGAATAAAGCTCGGGAACATGCATTGCTGATCTCTGACAGACCGTCTTATGTCACTATTTTAACATTAGGTAAGGCAGAAATTTTATTTACAATTATCAATCACTATATTTCATTTCCTTTTCAATGTGTTTAAAGAATTGAATATTTATTTTCCTAGAAAATAATCTTATGTTACGTCTGATAATTGGGAATTGAGATATATTTGCTGATTTGGAATAGATCTTCATCTTTTGTGTTTAACATTTCTACTTTCATATTTATTTAAATGATAACTTATACTGTTAAGTGGGAATAATCTTTTTATGCTATGTCTGTTTTATATGATATGTAGTATATATTGAATATATTTCATATTTATAATTTACCTGATATTGTATTGTAATTATAATCATGTAATGATATAGAAATCCATTATATACTTTAGTGTCTCTCATATGTACATCATGTACATTTGCTTTTTATTAGTAATCAGTAGTGAAAACATAGCACACAACAGAATAAATGTTGGATGAATTTTAATATAATAAATCACTTTTTTTAAATAATTACCAAAGAATAGTGAATGTTGGGTTTGTTAGATTCACTTATGTGCAAATACCCTTGGGAAAGGTATTAATCCATCTCTTCCCCCTCCAGCTATGGGTTGAATAGCAAGACAGTCTTGGTCATGTAGCTTTGAATGGCAACCTACTGCAGGAAAATTTACCTATTCGGTCATGAATCGAAAGAGACATGATCGCCCTAGTGTGTATCATTATAACGCTGCAGGGCATCCTGGACCCTATGCTACATGACAATGCCATCCCATCTTTGATCAATGATGTCTTTGTGATTGAATCTTGTGGTTTACTGTGAAGTTGGTCACTTCAATCCAAGCCTCTCCCTGTCCTACATTGTGTTTGTTTTGATCACAAGGCAGCCAAGGATTAAATCATTGCCAGATATCGCTGGATTGGTGTCGTTCAGATGTGACAATGTTAAAAGACAAAAAAAAATGTTGTGCACATCAACAAGGTTTATATAACTGAGGTTTATACAGGAACACTTTTTCATATAAGAATCTACAAGCATGCAGGCTAACGACCATTCCCTCATAGTCTAATTTTGTGATACTTTGTTCTTTGTTTCATACTTTAAGTCAGAGACTTCTTCAGGTAGCAAGTTACAGAATGCTGACAAAGCACTGGTATCCCTCTCTCTCTCTCTCGTTATATAGAGACTTTCAATTCTTCCACTTTGCAATTTCATCAGAGCACTCTGCTCAATCTTATAGTCTGGAACAAGGTATGAGTTGGGAGATCTTTGTGGCAGCAAATCACATGGGGATCGGCGAAGTGATCGTCTCCTCTTGGTGTAATGGAAGCACGTCTCTGCCTCAGCTGTTATTCTCTGTCTGTCTCTGTCATTCCCCTCTGATCTAACACTTTTATGGACCCTTGCCTGACATCAGTGTGGGTCCCGACATGATTTGGGGTTCCAGAATTTTCCAAATTTCCAATCAGAACTCTCTGCTGACAGTCTCCTGAGAAGCAATTTACATGTCCTAATATGGGGAGCTTCCACTGTGGGAGTGGCAGTAGCAACATGTCGCTCTGCCATCTTGTTATCCCCTCTTCTCTTGCTTACACCTCACACCATTACCTTTTAGTGGACATATTCATTTTCCTCCCACTTCCTCATATCAGCTCCCCACGCTGCCGCCATCCAGAGAATAGGTTTTCCACCTGACCCAACTCATAGATGCCTGACACAAAATAGGTGTTACTTTTAATGTCATCGTAAAATTATTATCTGCATTTATTTATTCCTAATTATCACGTTTGGTCTGTAACTCTTCCTCTTTTTCCCACTTGACCAAAATTTTCTGGTCTGAGAAAATCTTGTTCCTTTAGCGATATGCATATCTTCCACCTCTATCAACAAGTGACATAGAATCATTTCTTTACCTTTTTCTTCACTTACTTGTAGCCATAAAATTATTATGTGACTAGCTTGGTGGTCTCTGTTCAAAATCGCTCCCCTCACATTGTCCTTTGGACTTCACCTTAATCAGATGCCTAAGAGGATTTCTGCACTATCTTCTAGTCTTTTAGTGAGTTCCTTATTCACAAAATGAGAAACAAAATCAAAGTATATTTTCTCTTGTTTTCGGTATGTCCTTCAATCTATCTACTATCTTCATACTCATGAAATGAGAAAACAAGATAAGAGTATATTTTGTCTTGTTTTCATTATATCCTTCAATCTATATACTACCCTCTTCATCTGTGTTCACTTTTGATTTAATTTAAGCCTTTTTTCTTTCTTCAAATTATTAGCATTCTTACAGTGTCCCATCATGTATAGCACTTAACTGATTTAGAAGTAATTGAATATCTTCTAATTTCTAAATTGCCTTAAACTAAAACTTATCTAGATATCTCTTTCATATTCCTTTTTAAAAAAATGAATCCATTTTATTAATTCTAGAAAATGTATTCATTATTTTACAGTCAGAGATGCTGCTGCACGGCTTCCAAATGGAGAAGGAACCCGAGGAGATATCTGTGAATTATTAAAAGATTCCCAATTCTTGGCTCCAGCCATCACTGATGTTCAGGTATAGAGACATGCTCATATACATTTGTGTAGTATCTTTTAGTTGAATGTTTATTTGCTTTATTTTTTTGCTTCTGAAATGGGAATTTAAATATGTAAACTTTTAAAGATAAAGTTCAAGTTCATCTATCAGTATATCATTTTAATATTGAGAAGAATCTATTAAAAATTACTTTGTTGTTTTGTACACATTTCCAAAGCTAAAGATTGCTCTCAACAATGCATCTGTTGTCATATCTGTTAGCATGTGATACTTGTACCATTAAATGAGTAATATTTTAACAAATTGCATTCAAAGTAAAACTAAACATTTTAGATGTATATACTATAAAAACATTGACTATCTTTGTCCAATTTCATATATGTGATAAAGTGAAGTGTACTTAAAACAGTAACAGACTTCATAAAATTTCATGAATCATTTATTGAAGTTGTATTTTACTTTAAATATGAAAAGTGGAGATTGATAAGAAAATATGTCAAGAGTTTATTTTTTGTAAGTTTGGCCTGTTTTAAATTTGTATTGATTAACTGAGAAGAGATGTTTTCTTTGCATTGATTTATTGATTCAAAGAGTTTCTGTTTCTTCTCTTTCAGATTAACACGGTAGTTAGTGGAGCTCTAGATAGATTACATTATGAAAAAGATCCTTGTGTAAAATATGATGTGAATAGAAAATTGTGGATTTATCTCCATCGAAGTCGAACAGAAGAGGAATTTGGTAAGCTGCATTGGGTTTCTGTCAATCATATATACTGTTTTACTGATATACAATTTTTGATAAAAAATTTAGTATAAAAGAGTATTTACATTTATTTACACATTATTTATTTTATTGTCCTCATCTTTGTTATTATCACAGCATTTTAGTCATTGTGCCCTTCAGCCTTCATCAGGTACGTATTGATCTGGGTAGCTTTCAGGGAATTTTGAACTGAAACCTTTACTTAATCTACAGGGGTAGATGGTTCACATTCTGCTGACCATGTCTTATCTAAATCTTATTTAGTACTTCTGAGTTCAAGTCTGCACTGCCTGGTCTGAGGTTGAACTCACAATTACTATGTCACAAAATACACAAATCAATGTTTAATCCACTAGACTATTGACAATCCTGAGTGTAGAACATGGAGCCTTAAATTTAATCTGCCTGCTGCTGCTGCTGTTTGTCATACTTGACTATAGTCACAAGACCCATCTTTTCTACTATTGCTGCTGCTGTTGAAGCCTTGCTATTATTTCTTTCTCTTTTTTTTTTATTAATGATTCCCATATGGTATTTATTTTTGTGTTAGGCCTACTAAAGAGATCTTCATATGCACTTACTCTTTCTGACATTTTTACTTCATTCCACAGGCCCATGACTACCCTTTTCCTTCCATCATTATCCTTCGACCTCCCTATGGTTGGTTGGAACTCCATTGATAATCCCTTTTCATGCTGTTTGGTCCTGTATTGCTGTCCCCAGATCCCCAATGTCCAACCCTGAGTTCCTAGCTCTGGTGTCTGGGAAAAGTCAATTTTCATGAGAAGACACTTCCAGAAGGATGCCATATGAGTAAGGATGAGGTGATTTCCCTGTCTGCTCGGTGGCAGTGGCCAGAAAACTGTAATCATTTTTGTTTGAGTTTAAAAGTGATATGTCTCAGTTCCCTGTAAATTGTGTTAAGCATTGCATGGGATCTCAAACTGATGTTCTGGATTTTTCTAAGTAGATTTTCATGTTTCCTTCAGTCGTCTTTCAAGACGAACAGATAATGTCCGAGTTTCTGATCCATACAGTAGAACTAGTTCAATCAATGTTTGAAAGGTTTAGACTTTTAAGGAGGATGGAAGGTTCAAGCAACAAATCTTGTGAAGTTTGTTACATGCATCCCATGCAAGAGCTTTGGAGATGTTGAAGTTTTTTTGGGAATCTATTATGTGAGATTCAAGATATTTGAAGTCCTCATCTCTTGATGGATGTATTGAGGGACTTCAACTCTGATGGTTCAGGGGAGGTTGTGATATATTCTGTCTTACTTATGTTGCAATAGAGACCTACCTGGTTTGCTGCTTTCTCGAGTGATTGCATCCTTAATACATTGAGAAATTAATGCAAGATCATCAGCAAATTCAAGGTCAGTCAGGTATTGTGGAGAGTACCGACTACTCTAGTGAGGTTTCAAAAGAACTGTCATGATGTCCTTTTCCCTCCATACATGATCAGCCATGCTTGATTTTTTTGTCTTCCCCCTAATTACAGCTTTTTCCTCCAGCCTTACTTTTAGTGGGCAACTGGTTTCACCTTTATATTCTTTGCCATAACATGCACTCCCAATGATTTGATTTCTCAATAGAAATAACTTCAAGCATATCAAATGCTATTTATTGAATAATTTTCTTTCTTTATTTGCAAATAAATTTTCTACATATGAAGTGACTTGGCATTGAGCTTAATGCCCTCCAATAGTGACTAATGAGTGTACATAACAATTTTGGTGATAAAACTCTTGTCAAATCAGCTGAGTTTAAATGGCACAAGTGATTAAAAGTTGCTTGTTCATTGAAAATCACAACTGCATAGGATTTCTATTCATTTAGATCTCACCTGAAAATATCATTGCTGTGTTAACATGTAACTTTATGATGATATGCTTCTTCTTTATTTATTAGTATAAATTTGTCAAGTGATTTTTAGTTGCTTCATATAAAACTTATTAGACTTGAAAAAAAAAGGTCATGACTGAACATTTTTGAAAGTATTACCTCAACAACCTGAATTGTAAGTTACAGTTTGTTACATTATTTCTTTCTTAATTAAAAGACACTATATGGGGTTCATTTATAATTAAAGAAGAGAAGGCATCTGGTGTAAAAGCCATATACTCTAGTTCAATTAAAGGCATAAAAAGACACTAGATTTAAGATTCCAAGGATTCCACTGGATTGGACTATGGGATATATGACCTGGTAGATAAAAGCTTTGCTTTAGTGGATCAAGTGATCTAGTTGTTATAGCTTTTGAGAAAGTCATATATTCTGGGTCAGTAACAGAGACCAGCAATACATTCACAAAGATGAATTAACTATATAGCATTAAATGATACAAGATATACTTTAGTTGAGACAACAATGAAAACAATCTACCCCTGTGGATAAATTAGAAGGTTCAATTCAAAATTTATATAAGGTTACCCACTATGGCAAACACTTGGATAAGGTCACAGAGTGCAATAGCCAAAATGTTGTGATAATAACAACCAAGATGTGGACACTAAATTAATCGGTGTATAATAATTCCTCATTTCAAAAAATCAGGCAAGAAGAATTACATGTGTTATTTTGATTACAGAATCATAAAAGGAAACCAACTGTAATTATCAGTAGAAAGATAAAATAGTTTGAAACTAAACTAATAAATTTTATCTTTCTTCTTTCATATAAAATTTTGTCTTTCTAGAAAAAATTCATCAAGCCCAAGGAGCAGCAGTGAAAGCCAAGAAATCTCTTCAGAAACCCAAATCTAGTAAATCAGTAAGTATAGGCAACTAGAAAATTATCAACTTAAATTACCATCTAAATTAACCAGAATAAACTATCTTTCAATTGTTTTGTTTTTATATTGCAATCAGAAATTAAGTTAAATAAAAAGTTAGTAAGTTTTACATTTGTCACAAGAGAATCTTGTAATTTTGAACAAATTATCAAATCTACAAGTTAAGATAGATACAACAATAATTAAATTTGTTATAAGAATAATTTATCACCTTTTGTCTGTTTTTTTTCTTAAACCAAATTTGTAATAAGGTTAGTGGAATTCAAAGTGTAACTGATTTCTACTTTAATTGCATATTTTTGACTAGCAGCTGTGAAATTAATTTTTTTTAAACATTGAAGCAGGTATTGAAAAATTATTAAATATAATGTTAATTTTTCTTATATTGTCTGTTTACGCATTCCAAACTATAGAAATAATTATAATTTATCCTTTGATCCAGAAAAAACAACATCCTCATTGCAGAAATAACTCAAAACAGATTTGTTCTATCTCTTCAGTGGTACTTAGTGCCTCAAATTCATCTAGAAAAAGGAAAATTGATTTCAAATAAAGAAAATGAAGTCAAAAACTACTTTCTTCCATGTGGTCATCCATATGCTTGTAAAATCTGTGGTATAAATATTTATATCTGTTTATAGCATTTATTGAAGTAAAGCATCTCTCATAGCTTGCAAGCTCATATCACAAGCCATTGCTAGTAAGTTTGTTCCTTACTGAGTATTCCAAAATCTTATTTCCAACTCAACTAATTTTACTAAATACCTATTTTTGATGAGCCTTCCTAATGCATTGTCATAACATCCTATGTGGCTTGAACAAGTATTCATCAAACTATGGTTGTTGCTTTGTAGTGGGTAACATTAGCTGTCTTTAAGCTAATACCCCAGAGTTGCACAGTTTTAACCTCTCACTGAAAGTCAAGTCATCTTTTCATCAAGCAAAAAGTTTTCTTGTAATAGTATTTAGCACAATGCAATGGAGTCTGTATCAGCCAATTGTCTCCTGTAAGAAAATGTTGCTGACCACTTGTCAGTGCCAGAGAGTGTAAAGTGAGTGAAAGAACTACCCCATTCCTTATCTGTTTGCTACCAAGCCAAAAACTTTACTGAAGAATCTTGGAGGGAGGAACTCTTCACTTAGTTATTTATTTTTTTTTTAACCATGAAATCTTGCTTTCTTGCTGATTAGTCAATTCACGGACCAATGAAAAGACCCCCTACCCCATTCTACCTCTTTTCCTTTTTGCTTGTAGTACTTGTGACTGTTAACTGATACTGTCAAATATATTGTATTTCAGAAATATACATTTGCAACAATCTCTGTGACTGTTTATTCAGATTGTCTTTCTTCTTAATCCTTAACCTTAAATTATTCTCTTTTATTCTACACCTACAATATTACATTCTATTGTTGTTTGTTCACCTTTAAAACTGTTTCATGTTTACTTTCTGCTTTCAGAAAGCCAAAGAAGCAGTTGTCAGCAATGCAGTTGTATCTACTGCCCATTCTTCAGTACCTAGCCAGGGTTCTCGCTCAGTGGCTTCTGTCAGCATAGCAAGTACAGAGAACAAGCACATTACAACAGAAACAGTTACAAGCACCAGCCTTGTTAGTCCTGCTATTTCTGCAAATCCCAAATTGTCCACTCAGAACACTTGTGTAATCACTGCTACAACCAGGACCTTACAAGGAAGTACCAAATCAGGACTAGGTGGGACCAAGCCAGCTACCATCAACCTCAGCCTTGCACAGGCACCCAGTATAGGTGGTAGTGGAAGCACAGTAACTACAATACCAATATCTGAAATCACAAAAGCACAAACACCAGCTGCTGGTTCCCAGGTGCATACTACCATTTCAGCATCACCCTCCACCCTATCTAAGCCCTTCACATTTGCCATAGTGCCTTCTCAAGCCACTGGAACAAGTGGCTCCCCAACAATTGTCAGTCAAGGACGAACATCAACAACCAATGCAAAACCACTGTCACTAAACCTCCTGCCTAGTCACCTTGTAACCAAATCTGTTGTTATAACCACAAAGCCAGAGTTGATTCCATTTCAACAGCACAGTATTGCGTCCACAGGAGGCAGCATCAATAGCAGCAAGTCTCTTGTAGCTGGACAGACAATCCTTAGTACAGCCAATCGTACAGCTGTGTCATCAGCAACGACAGCCACGCCCATGGTGGCAAGGCTTGTTTCTGGTCCACAAATGGTTTCAGTTGGAAATTTACTGCCAGGACCTGCACATAAAAATTCCTCTGGGAATCCTGGTCCCACAACAATAAAGATCCAAGGTAATGGTATTAAGATTTACTGATGTTCATATTTATCTTGAGAATGTAAATTAAATAATTAAAAGCTTCTGTAAATTTTCTAGTCTCAAGTCTGGGAGAGTTACAGAAGTAGCAGTTTTATTAATTCCAAGAATGCTTGTTCTGATAAAAGACATAAAGTGAATATCTTTAGTAAAATAAACTAGAAGGTGTGATCCACAACCAAAGTGGAACAAGTATTGAACAAAACAAGGACGTTCCAAATTTTAACCTGCAAAATATAAAGTTAGAGTAGGTACCTCCACGAAATCGCTAAAAAAAGAGCATAGCTTGATGAAAAAGACGCCAACCTTGCTGAAAACAAAATTTTATTGTCTAAATGCTTATGTTATTATTAAGAGGAAAGACCAAAGTTTTTTTTAATTATTTTAAAAATTTTCCTTCTTTTAGAACATTCTAAATTTTGATTAAAAAACCTTGTTTCTATTTGTATCAGCGGAACTAGTAAATAACATAGACAATTTTTAACGTTTTTTTTTTGGTATGACACACATTAATTTGAAAAATCGTACAAAAATAGAAATAATTATCGGATGTTAATGAAACTTTCAGGAACTATTCACAGATGATCGAAATTATTATAAATATGTTTTTTTATGAAAGTCATGGTAGAAATATTTTTTAAATATTTATTCCCCCCATAACTAATTTTATGAAAACGCTAGAAATTGATTGCATCGGTTTTAGTGATTACAATAATTAAAAGCACAGGGCTTTGAGGAATGCAAATCATGTTTTTTTTTTGTTTTAATTGGATCCGCAGTACCTGAAAAAATCAGCTCTGAATTGTAACATACAAAACTCAATAAAACAAAGATATTATTTAATTTCAAATGCTTTTATTTGCTTTTAGTGTTTTTATGAATATGGACAATATTTTCTGAAAGCAAAAAAATTTTTTCGTTGAAAAATGAATTTTTAATACAATTATTTGTTATTTCATTAATTATAATAGATTTTACATTTAAGTTGTTAAAATCTTATAAAATTAGTTAAAAGCGCATCGGCTTTCCTAAGTGTCCTTGTGAGATAGATCTTTTTTTTAGCGCGTTGTAAATTGTATCATTTTGACTAATCAGAAGATCCCAGTAATTAAGAAATGTAATTTTGTGCTTATAACGGGCTGTAATTATAAAGTATGGAAGACCAACCAGAATATAATTAAGTTGCGTTATTTGAGTTAAGCATTGTTCTCCGCTGTTAAGGCCTTTACTTTTTTGTAAACACGTGTGGAGAAGTTAATTTGATTTTTCAATTTCAACTGAGAAGGATACCAACAAGTATCAGTATCATCTTATGAAATTTATATGATCTTATTTTTTTATATTAATCTCAGTTATGGCATTTTTTCCATAAATGAAATATCAAAATTAATAATAAAATGAATACAAATAACAGTAAATATAATAAATGTACATAAAATTATAGTATTTTATGTACAATTCTGATAAAATTTCATAAGAAAGGTACCTATAAATTAATTAGATACCTTTCTTAAGAAATATGAAATTTAATGTCACTCTTAACAGTTTTATTTTAATTTCTTTTAGAATATATTTCCCATAAAGCATCATAAACGTAAAGGTGAAAGCTAAGTACAAAAAAAAAAAAATTAGACCGCTGAAAGTTTTCGTTAAAAATAATGGAGGTAAATAATTTGTTCACGTAAATGTAAATTATTTCACTTTTCTCCTTCCGGAGAACAAATTAGCCTCATGGAATTCGTAAATATATCATTCATCACATGTCAAGAGACGCGAAAAGTTTATGACCTGCTTTGATTTATTTTCAAATTACATCTTTTTGGCACAAAAGCTAAGTTAAGTTTGGTTCAAAATATTTTAAATAAACATTATAATTTCTGATTTTCTTAAAATAAGTTTTGAAAAAATGATAATTGATATTTAAAAAAATTTCAAAGTCAGATTTCCAGTTTTTTTTAAATGGAAAAAATGGTCAATTTGCTGACTCAAAAAAAACTAGATTTTTTAACGAAAATTTCGGACGTGCTAGAAACGATTAAAAAATGGAAAAAATACCCCAAAATACTTTGACTTTTCCTCTTAATAATAACAAACATTTAGACGATAAAATTTTGTTTTCGTCAAGTTTGGTGTCTTTTTCATCATGCTATGCTCTTTATTCAGCGATCTCGTGGAGGTACCTAAGTTAGAGCAATAACATTTAAAATATATATTAGTTACTTAAATTGCTGTAAATTATTAATACTTTATTATAGCATAATTAACTTGAAGGTAGGAGTGATAATGACTTTGAGAACTACCTAGTTATTAGATTTCTGGAGTCAAACTGGTTAAAAGCATTGTACATATACAAATAAGAATATGATGATAAAAAGCAACAATAATTTAAAAAATAATGAAATTACTGTATATACACATGTATAAGCCAACTTCATGTATCGTGTGATCCCTGTATTTCTTTTTGCATAAATTTCAACCCCTCCCAGATAAAATTTACCTGTGTATAGTGCAACTGGTCACTGGAAATGTATGATTTTTAACCTCTTCAAAAAGTTACCTGTATGTATTTATTTTTTTTTTTTTTTTTTTGCATAAAAAACTGATCATAAAAACTCGCATTATGCTCAAATATATACATTAATCTTAGAATTCTAACAAATTAAGACTGGTTTTAATATTTTAATGAAATTTGAAACATTACAAGCTATTGTCTAACACATTTTTATGATTTTATATGTATGGATATATAATTTTATTTATTTTAGTTAAGCATGTTTTTAGTAAATTTAGGCATTTCTGGGATGTTTGTGCATAAAGATTTTATGTCTAAACTAGCCATGTATTTGTTTTTGATGCCTATGTTTTTTAATTTGTTTAAAAGGTTATCAGAATTTTTTATGTGTGAGGAACTAATTGTGCTGAGGAGTGGGGTTAAAATTTTGCTTAGTCTGCCAGGTAGTTTATGTGAAGCGCTTGTCTATCCCTGATATGATAGGTCTCTTTGGTATGTCTGGTTTGTGTGTTTTTGGTAGTCTGAATAGTGTTGGTGTTTTTGGGTGGTGTTCAGGAGTTGTCTTCATTTTTTAGTAATTTTTTGATATCACTTATAAATTTTTGTCTCTTTCGTGACTTTGTTTTCATTTATTTTTTTTTAGATGTTGTCGATGAGGTCTCTCATTTTCTGTTAGTAGATGTGTTTGTCCATGATTATAATTCCCCTGCCCTTATGGAAGGAGATATGTGGATGTTTTTGTTTGCTATTTCCTTCAGGGCTTTTATGTATCTGCGGGAAAGTGTGGTGCTGTTTTTTTTTTTTTTTTTTTTTTTTATAACTGTGGCTGTGATTAGGCCTTGGATGTATCCTTTGATGAAGTTGGTGGTAGTGGTTTTTAATCCTGAAATTCATAATGTCTTTTTTCGGCAGTCTGGTGGCAAATTTTTGACCAAAGATGAGAGCTCTTCATTGTATATCTGATAGTTTGGATTCAGATAGGTTTGTAATTAGGTTTTTCTGCTGGCCTTGGATCATTTGCTTTTGTGAATTGACGTATCTAGTTCGTTTTGTAAAATATGGATTTGCTTAGAGAGCACTTCTTGCTATGTATGCTTTGTGAAAAAGTGTAGCTCCTTTTTCTTTCAATTCTTGTGCTGAGGATTTCAAGAATTTGTGGGCATAAAGAGGGAAGGCATGATGTGAAGTTTTGATGAGTTTGCTTGAGCATTGAGGAATAACTTTTTCCTCAATGCATTTTTGAGAAAAATTTTTCTATTTCTGTGGGAATGAATGGATATTAATAACTGTTTGTATTTTTTGACTAAGTGTGTTTGTGTTTTCCATGTCAACAATATGTAAATTATTTTCAGATAGAGTATCTGTAAAGGAACAAAAAATTTAGACAAAATTTTTATACACAAACGTTCCTATATAGAAATGCCTAAATATCAGCTAAGAATAGTTTTTCTTGTCTTTTTATTCATTTTGTTCCTTTAAAGATATACTCTATCTGAAAATAATTTACATATATGATGAAATTTTATGAAGTTTTATGGTATGCTATATATATGGGTTAAAGTGCTCAATATCTTGGATAGAGTATATGTAAATATAAAAGGTCAGCACCGATACTGTTTCATGCTTAAACACAATTGTCAGGCCATGTGTGTTGTATTTTAGCCGAAGTATTTATATATGCTGGTCAGTGGTGTATTATGGGTAGGTTTGCTGTATTATTCTAACAGTTATTGGGTGGGCAGTAATGATTGTTTCAGATTATTCTAGGGGCTATTGAGTGGGAATAATTGTGGATCCAAATGCATTTTGTGACTATTTTATAGTATTATTTGTTAACTTTTTTACTCATTATTTATTATTTTATTATTTGTTGTTGTTATTATGTTTCTTGTGTTTATGTATACATTCATAGTTTAATTTGTTTATTATTTACTTAATTTTACGTATTTATTGATTAGGATCAATTTATTTTACTTATTAATTTATTTTTAGTTATTTTTTTATTTATTTTTTTTTTTGTTTTTAGATTTTGATTTTTAGGTAACACTGTAAAAATTAGTTTTGTGTCTGCATTTTGAGATAAGTTCTGATCATTTATTTAATAATTTGTGTTGGTCTATGAAGGTAAATATAACTATTTTCTCCTCCAGAGTTTACAGTTTCTGGATTTATTGTTGTAGGCTGATGCTGTTTTCCTTATTTTTCATGATAGTGTGATTTAGTTTTTGTTTTTAATTTCATAATTTGAAATATGTTTAGAAAGCATTGTGCTGTTTGTTTATTTACTATTTGTAAAGGATGTTTTGTGTGCCTAGTTTCTTTGTTTCCAAGGTCCATCAGTTACTCCTGTGTATATTTTTTCTTCATTATATGCTAATTTTAGAGTGGCTTGGTATATTACATACATAAATAGTAGAGACAAAGTACAACACACATGGCCTGATGATTGTGCTTAAGCATACATGAAACAGATTGTCACCACTGGATGTTGATGTAAATGTTCACATATATATAGATATAGATCAGTATTGTGATTTTCTTTCTTCGTTTAATGATAATGTTATTAAGCTTATCAGACATTATGAAAAGAATTTACATAAAATAAATAGACAACACTTGTCTATATTATTTAATGAAACATGTGTATATATATATATATATATATATATATGAAACCTCACACACTTTCTATATTTAATAATCAAATCTAATAAGTCTATCATTATCATTCCTTTTTCTTCTAAAATCCAGGGAGATGACATTTTTTTTTAAGTATACTATTGTTGAAAAGATATCCTGTAGTGAAATCAAGTAAAAATTTTTAAATATTATTTATATTTTAAACATTTTGCCTATTAATCTACCTACATTTTCGCAATGTAACTGATCCATGTTCCTCTCTTAAGTAAAAGCCTTGTAAAATCAGGTATTAATTTGAATGTCACTTTTTTTTTTTGGTTAATGACACACATATATATATATATATATATATATATATATAATATATTTTATGGAAATTAATTTGGTGATGAGCCTTGAGAATTTGTTATCTTCTAAGACCTAATTCCTTAGGTATTGTCTTCAAGATGCAATTCTGAATATACAGTCTTTAAAGTTGGACTTATTTACTAATAGTATCTTGATTTATCAATGGATAAATTATGCTATTTGATGATGAAATATGCTAGAAAAACTTCTTTCCATAGGAAACTATTAAACTTGATTATTTAATGTAACTAATATCTACACTTTGTGATGCTACTTTTCCCAATAGTGCGTTTGAGCAAATATTCTTACTGGAATACTGGCATCCATATAAACCATAAAATACTGAAAAGATTTCCTTTTATAATTGCATAACAGAAAATTTTGAGAATTCTTTTCTGGCTATTATATTACTTGTGTTCTTTATACATCATCATAATGTTGGCATAGCTATAAAAATTTATTAAAATATAAAATAACAAAAAGAGACAACCCCTTTTTGATGTATTCAAAATTATATTAAATATACAACTTAATAAATATCTTTCAAAAGAAATTTTCTTGAGAGATTTTTTTTAGATATATATTTATTTAAATGTGAAAGTCATACATTGTTTTTGTTTTAGGTAGCAATATTTTACAGCCAATCTCAGGTGGCAAACCGGTGCAGTTGACTGGTAAAGCTATGCAAACTACCAAAGGAATCCTACAGATTGATGGTAAAGCTCATCCGTCAGTTAATGTGATCCAAACAGCACAGGGAGGTCTTTCTACAATCAATATCATACCCCAGGGTGGAAATGCAACAGTTGTCAGTCTCTCAGAGGCAGCACAAACAACTAAATCAAACAGCTCAACAGGTCAGTATTTACATTCACTTTTTTTCATAAGCAAAATTATCTTGCTCCTTATCAATTTCAGAGTTGTTTTCTCGACTTAGGCAGGAATTTATACTTAGTGTGCATGTTGATGACAATGCTTAATAGATTTTTGAAGAAGGTATTTTTTTTTTCTTGATAATTTTTTTTTACATTCTCATATCAGTTTTATAATATTGGTATTTGATATTGATAAATGTTACATCTTACTCAAAGATAACTAAGATTGTTCAAGTCCATGTATGGGTCTTGGGAATACAGAGTACTGTAAGCAACCTCCTACAATCTGAAATGTTTTGGTTTTAAATAATAATTGGTTTTTGATAAACCATAAAAAACCCCAATCAATTTCGTGTTAGAATATGGGCATAAGCTTTTAAAATTTACTATATTGGAAAAAGATATTTCTGTATCTAGGATCTTTTTTTACTACATTGGTAATAAACCATGTTTTTTTTTTTTTTTGTTTTTTTTGTTTTTTTGTTTTGTTTTTTATAATAACATTCATTAGATCTTTGAAGTGTGTGAAGTTTATTACCATGCTGTTTTCATTAGAGATCATTTGACCATTTCACTACATTAAAAAGCTTTTATTTACAATTATCTCAAGTATAACTGTCAACATTGTCTTTGGTTTAACTCGTATGATAAGAGCTCATATTTTGTATGTTTATCTGTCACATAAAAACTGCTAAAACTCTTATAAAATATTACAAAACAAGACCCTGTAATATTCAGCATTGATTAAAAAAAAAAACACAAAACTAATTCATCATCAACACTTATATTTTGAAAGTGAAATCATTTCTTTACATTATTTTGTTTTGTATGTTGTCACTGTTAAGTAATTTTTTTAATGTATACTAAATTTTAATTAAATATTTGTGCTTGAAATTTTTGTGTGTCTCAAATTAAGCTATTAATCTTGACTTTTAATTTAGTGACTGCTGACTCAGGAACAACCACAGTACTCAGTTCTGCCCTACAGTCTGCTACAGTTATGTCTCAGTTAAAGACAGTTACTGTCACAACAACTGGGAGCACTTTACTCACCCAGCAGCCACTACAGATGGTCAACCAACCTAAGGTTGTCTCTCCAGGCCAGGGAGGCATTGTGGTTACCCATCTGGCTCCTGGAAACATCACTCTTCGGCCTGGTATGTTCAGATATGAGACTTTACACTTTGTTATAACGCTTATAAAATTTAGATTTTTGTAAGATATCTTCAAGTAACAGAATTAGACACTTTCCAGGCTTAATACTGGACTAAATGATGTACTGACAAAAGCAAAACTCAACAATCATGGTCTATCATTTGTTGATGAGTTTTATAAAGAAATCTGATAGAAAGGTAATTGTCAAAATAGTATTAACTCAATACAGATTGACCTGGAAAAGGATTCTAGATAGACTTAATAGTACAAACATAATAAAAAGTGTATGATAATTTTTAAAAAAATTATATAAAAACTTAGAGGAAATTTGATTTTTTTTTTTATGCATGGGTAAATGAAGCTATTTTTTTATGTAAAAATAATTTTCATTCCCATATTTTAGTAATTGCATTTTACATATAAATTTAAAAAATATTCTAAATTATAAGAGGAATATTCTGAGTGTAGTGTACAGATCCTCTTATATTTAGTCTCTTTTAAATCAATTAATATTCTTATAGTTTAAGGAAAGGCAAATTGTTAATTGTATTTACTTAATGTAACAGGTACATATGTTACACATAGTAATTGCTTATACCCTTTTAACTGGTTATTTGAATTATTATTACCTTAATTAATCTGTGTTTTTTTTGTTTTTTTTAAAATTACTTTTTAACTATATTAACTTTTTCCATAATTGGCTTATGGCCACATCATGTTGAAACACTAGTTCTCATGTGATCACTGGAGTTAAGCAACATTGAGTCTAGTCAGTACCTAGATGGGTGACCACTTAGGTGCTGTAAGCTTGAATGTTCAGGTGGTGAAATGGATAATGGCCTGGAATTGTTAACCGGAGAGCTGAGTTCCAATTCCCGTTGGGTTTGTTATATACATATACATGTAAATACCCTTGGGATAGATGTGAATCCACTTTTCTCCTCCCCAGCTATGGGTTAATTAGTATTACTAAACCATTATTATCTAAAAGAAAAAAATTCTTACAATCTAAAAATATTTTCTGCTTTTAAATAACCTGCAAATGGTTGATAAGCCACAGAAAACGAATCCCTTTGCCTAATACACTTACAAAGCTGTTTTTCAAAATAACATGGAAACTGAAAAAAATGACAAGTGCTTAGTTGTCATCGATGATAAACAAATGAAGTCATTATGAAAAGCAATTAGAATATTAAACATATTTATGAATGTAAATTGAAGTTTTTGGCAATGAATGATTCAAAAAATTTGTTTCTATGTTTCATTTTTGATTTGATTTCAATGTTAAAGTTCAGTAGACATGCTTATTAATCACTTGTGTTTTGCAATATTTACATAAATTAAATTATTATTTTAAATGATAATTTTTTTTTTTTTAAAGGCTTATCTGGTGTTTCTCAAGCCAAAGTTGTCACAGCTGCTCAAGCTAGTCTGGTTCCTGCTCAGTTCATACTCCACCAACCAGCTACAGGCAATGTGAAAGTGGGTGGGAGTGACACTTCAGTCACTCCAACTGTCACTCAAGGTAAAGTGATAGAATATTTAGATTGGATGCATTACAATTAATTTACTAAATATAGAATTAATTTCTAATATTATCAACAGATATAAACTAAATTTGCTTAAAGACTAAATTGTTCAGTTTTTATTTGAAATCAAAAAATATAATTATTATATTAATTATTCAGAATAGTATCCTCATTTTTGTTGTTTTAATCATTATATTTTGTCTGGTGTGCTCTCAGTCCATAGAATGAACAAAACAAAGAAATTTAGGATATTAGTCTAAATAATTTTATAGAAAAAATGGCAGTACTTCATTTCAGTACTTGAGAAAATGTAAGTCAATGTAAAAATGTAAACAGAAAAAAATAAGATTCATATAATTTTTTTTCAAAGTTTTTGATAATGAGCATTTAATTGAAACTTGATAATTATTCTATTTTTTTATTTTTCCTAGCTACCCCTATCATTGTGAGCAGCAACAGTGGTAAGCCTGCTCAGAACATTCAGGTTGTACGGACAGTGTTGTCACAGCCCTCAAGTGTAAAACCTGGACAGACAACGATTTTGATCTCACAACCAGCACTGCAACAATCTGGTACCACTGTTTTATCATCAGCACAATTACTTCAAACAGCGAAGATGCAAGGAAAATTAGCAGGAAAAGGAAAGCCTCCTCCTGTATATGCACGCATCCTCACTCCTACAGCTGGTATGAAGTTAGCCACAGTGGCCTCTGGTCAAGCTCTCACAGCCCAGGGAGTCAGTGTCATCCAAGCCGCTGCGGCCAGCAAACTGACCAGTTCAGCTATCACAGCTACTGTCTCTTCTCAGGCGATCAAGTCACAAGAGCGTAGCAGTAGTACTACTACTACAAGCAGTAGTAGTAGCAGCAGCAATAACAGCAACAACAACAGCAGCAGCAGCGGTAATAGCGGGGGTGGAGTTGGGAGTACGAAAAGTGAGGAACAAAAATAGTGACCATTTTCTTTCTCCTTATGCCTCTAGTTTTCCTGCTCATCCTCTTTGTCCCTCTTTGATATAGACACTAGTGTTATGTGCACATTGTTGGATTTTGAAATGCTGAGATGGGAGAAAGGAACATAACCTTACACAGCTCAAACTCCACCTCAACACATTATTAATTTTAAAATATCAAACACACACACACACACACACACACACACACACACACACACAGTGGTATTTTCCTTTTGTTTTGATAGTACATCAATTATAAGTCATGTTTATAGATTTGGTCAGCTAACATGGTTGTCTAAGTTTGGCAGATTGTTGAATGTGTGAATTTTATATACTTAACAGTAATGAAATTACAAATCCCTTTTAAAGGATGATAACAACTTAAAGAAAATTGCATCATATGTAATTTTTCTGTTTGAAAATAAGTGTCTAATATATACGAAATTGGGAACAATGTCTCTAGAGAAAGGATGGATATATGTGTGTTGCACACAACACACACACACATGCACACACACACACACACATATATATATATATATATATATATATATATATATATATATATATATATATATATGAAGGTGCTGAAAAATGCTCAACATTACCCACTTCTCAAAATCACCATTTCAATGACCAAGCATCAAACTATTGATTTTAGGAAGTGAGTCAGGCTGAAAACTTTCCCGTGCCCACTCGTACATGTGTAAATACAGGTATTGCATCTAGTAAATATGACAAAATGTGACTGCCTTTAAGTACTTATTCAAATTAAAATGTATTTGAATAAATACACAATAATTCCTCCATGAAGAACTGAAAGAGAGAATATTTAACATTTTATATTCCTTATGTTCATTAATTAAATTCCATTACACTTAACATTTTCTAACACCCATTTTTTTTTTTTTTTTTTGGAATTAAAAGGGGCAAATTTTTTAATTAATCACTTTTTCTGATAAATCATATTAGTCATATTTGGAATGTTTCTTTCAAAATCTTTAAATCTGAAGATTTGAACAAAATTTTAGAATGTAATTTTGAAAAAAATTTTTGTAAGTAATTTTGTATAATTGACAGCACAAATTCATATTTTTTCAAGAATACTTATTGATACAACCACCTTTTGTTACTAAATTATATGCCTTTCATTGTAATGTTATTTTTTAAATACATTTCCTTTTATTATTAAGTTTAGAATTAATAATTCATGAGACATTTATTTTAAACACAATTTTTAATATTTTTCTTTAAAATAATCTGCAGTTATTTTAAACTCAGTTAATTCTTTTAATCAAATGATTGCTAATATAGCTTTACTTGATTAATTTACTACTTTCAATTATAAATAATTTTAAATTTCTTTTTTTTTAAAGTCTCAGTACTAGTTACTTTCTACTTCAGATTACTAAAATATTTTCTCTCAGACCTGATCTTATCAAGATTTTCAGAAAAAAATGTATCAAAAACTATTATAATAATTTCTTTTAATGATATTTAAAAATGGTTCACAAATAAATTTTAAAATGTCTTGCTATAACTTTTGTTCTACAATGTGAATCTTAACTACCCTCTGATCATCATCTGTAGTTCAGCCTCATGAGAAATGTTAAAAATTTTTTAATTAGTTTCCTAATACCATCAAGTGTTTCTGTTCTTGAAATAAATATAACATAGCCAGCATTCTCCTAGTAAATTTGTCTAATCCCTATCAAACTCCACTCTAGGTTATATGCATTTAAATAACTGTTTGCATTGAATACAATTTTGTATCTCATAAATGAACATGTTTTTCATAGCAAGATATAGCAGTAAATAAGATTTTATATATTACTTTGTGTTATATAATATTCTTGAATGGTCTTGTAAAGTTCTTTTCTATTCTTTTAAGGTTTTGTTTTATATTCTGAACCATTTGATGTATTCAAATGTTTATATCTTGTAAATATGGATAAGAACACTAATCTATTAGGAAGATTGTGAGACATTGTAAAATATGTGAAAATGATATTATCTATAGTCATAATGTGTCTATTATATAAGTTGTATTATAAATTATCAATGTATAAAATATACATCTTAGGAAATAATTATATAATTAATCATGAATGATAAAAAAAATTCATTTTAATTTAGAAATTAGTAAAACTTCAAAAATTCAATACCAAATGTCTCTCTCATAAAAGCTGCCATGTTGAGTATGACCATCACAAGATATCTTTGTAAGACTTGGTTGTTCCTTGAACAGATATGGTTCTTTAAACTAGACAAATTTTTATGAACTCTGGCACAAAGTTGGCAGACATGAGACATTTTGTTGTCATTAGGTTTATTTTTGTGAATATTTGTGTGTCTTTTCAGCCTACCAGATGACTTGCACACTTTATCACAAATATGACAGACATGAATTGTTAGCATTTCATGCCATTTCATAGTTGATCGGTACTCCAGTATGATGACTTAACATACAACTCAATTTTCCTGCTTTATTTGAGCAAAACCTATCATAAATATTACAGGTGATGTCATGTCTCTCACATATATGGTCTGGAAATTACACATGTCCTTTTTGGACATTTCTTTTCAGCTGCTATCTGAGAATTCTTGAAAGCATCCTTTCCATCATGAACCTTCTTCTACCAGCTGGCACAATCAAGGGACGGACTCTCAGTCATGTATACTGATGTTTGCAAGGCTCATTGTTTTTTTTTTTTTTGTTTTTTTTTTTCCCCAAGCCATCCTTATTAGACTTTTTGGCTAATGGGTTGGTTGTTTTCTGTTAGCAAGCTCTCTGTACAAAAGCTGCTTAGGATATATATAATAGCCAGCTACTAATTTCTGAACACATCTGTCTGCTAGGGTGGTTAGCCAATCTCTGTTGCAGATGCCTACTTAGGCACATTTTGTGTTTGCTCAACACCCACAGAGACCATAATATTCAGTATATGAGATCCAGAAAAATGTAATATACACTCTGTATGTGACTCTATCTAAAGGATATTAACTACTATTAAAAAAAATTTATCAATGTTAGACTGTGTTTGGCTGATTTGTATTTCAATTGAATGTTTACACACACAAGTGTACTGTAATTTCTTGGGTTCATCAGAAAGAGATTCCAAAATAAATTCTAATATTTGTTCATGTAGTCAGATTTTTGTAAATGGGTCAGACTAAAGTGTGCAATTTTATCTGAGAGGTTCTATTTTTATTTAATCATATTCATAATAGTACTTTTTGCTGGCTAGCTCAACTTACAAAAGACAAGAATAGAGATAAATGTTATTACTAGAAATAAAAGTAAGGGAAATATACAATTAATCCAACTCTTTTGTCAATGTATCTTTTATAGATTAGAAATGAATTTTGTTTAATTGTTTTATAATTTAACTTATTTAATTATAGTTGGTTTTAAGATAACACTCTTAAAAATATCCAAATATATAATTGACTTGGATGTTTATATAACTTAGTGAGTGACATCTTTTTGTTCTTTTAGCATATATTACTCTTGGGTTTATGGCAGCAGTGGTTTGACCATTGCTTATTGTTGTTTGGATGCTATTTTAGTTTAAGAGCTTCTATTTGCTACAAGGTTGATGTGATTTTCAATTAATTTTCTTCCTCTGAACTAAGCATAAAAATGTTGATTTTTTTTTTTATATATGTGTGTAACTTGCATATTGTGGAGTTTATAAATACATGAATATATTGACAATCAACTAGATAGAACTGATAGAGAGATGCATGGAAACTACTATGAATGTATTCTAAAGTAGAATTTAATTCAAGTGTTTTAGCAGCATAAATTTAAACTGAGTACTTACATATTTCTATTAATTTTTGTATTTATATGCCCTAAATCTATTATCTTCCTCAGAATTAATGTTACCTTTATATAGATGAATGAAAATTTGCATTTATTACAATATATTAATTTCTTAAATGAAATGCAGTTACATATTGACCAGACTAATTATAAAATGTATTTTCTTTGCTGTATTTAAAGTTAGTCATATCTAGTTATTGCCTTTTAGACATCTGTAACACGCAAATATTTGAGACTATTTTGCATGATAGCAATAATTGCTGAGGGAATTTCTCTCACTTTGTTATATTAAAATTGAAAAAGCTATTGAAGTACATTTGGTGATCATCGAAAATTTAGTATTAAGATATAGAACAGTGGTTCTCAACCTTTTTTTTTTTTTTTTTTACCCATGAACCACTTTTAATTTTTTTTTTGGCGGACTTCCCCCATAACCATTCATTGAAAAAAAAATTATTTTTTACTGATAGATAAGTTTATGAATTACTTTATTTTGAAGTAAAACTAATGAAAATAAACTTGTATTTAACAACTAAATTCTATGCAACATTTATGTACACTAGTAAAATAACTCATAATAAACCATTTTAAAATGGACTACTGTGGACCCCAGTAATGTTACATGGACCCTGGTTGAGAACCACTGATATAGAAGATAGTTATTAGATCTTAAGTATCTTTAGTTTTCATCTTACATTAAGCACCCCATCCCATTTTGGTTTTCCAAGTAGGAATGATCTGTTTGACATGCTTTATTATTTTCTTAAAGAAAATTACTCTTTCAAGAGGAAAAGTCTCATTACAAAATCATCCAATGAAAATTTGTCATCTCCTAACTCACATTGCCACATAACACTTCATCCTTTTCTCCTCATTTCCATTGCGCATTTTTTCTTACAGTTTAGGCTATTTTTACTCTTGCCTATTCTATTGGTTCATTGTCCCTAAATTGACTATAATAGTGTGTAAGGATTTACATGAAGGCTTGATTGTATTGTTGCAAAAAGAAGTC